GAGGGAGAGAAAGAGAGAGGGACTGGGGGAGAGAGAGATAGAAAGAATTTGTGCACCTATGTTGGACCACTAATTATAACCAAACATCCAACCACACCCCCTAAATACATACACATGCACACACATTATTCAGTCCTACTATCGCCGACTGCAGAAAAGAATGCTTTGCCCCAAATAAGGGTGTAATTGAAGCATGAAATATCTTGGGAAACACTATACAATTTTAAGTAGTATGCTGGCTTGCCAGTATCTATATTTGAATGATAAATATATATATATATATATACATGAAGCTTACAGTAACATTTCCAAATTGCACATACCCTAACCCTGAACAACATTTTCCTCAACTCCTGCCAATGTCAAAACATTGTCATCAGGTTGCTTAAAGACGAATAGGAGTGGGCTCTCATGGGGAATTCGACACCATTTGGGCGTCTACCCAATAACAGTCGTTGTCAATCACTAGGATTAGCCTTCAGTTGTATAACCAAACAGGCCTTACCTAATGCTTAGCATTTTCCACCCATTCCCCATATGGTCAGTATCTTGCATTTCCCTCATCCAAAGACTCTCCGAGAGACTATGGGAGGTATTTCTTACTTGGCCTACAGGTTTACGGACCTCCTGCAAATGGCTGGAAACTGACTCTACCCTCTCATCAACTACACAAACAATTCTTCACACTACTAGTATACAGTGCATCCCAGAAAAAACAAAACCGAGAATTATCCAAGTTTTATCATAAGTTAATCACAATTATAATTAATAAATGACACATGTTTGTAAAGCTTGGTGCAACTCATATGATGCATATTCCATGCATGAGTGATTAAAATCAATTTGAAGAAAGGTTAAGGGTACCAAAAGGTCATTTGGCGGACGGTATCTGAAATTTTAAAGAGCAAATCACATTTCTTGAAAGTTCATTTTCTTCCCTTTCATACGACACTTACATCAGGAAAAATGAGCTAGGAATAACAAAGGTCTGTATGTTTAAAGTAATGCTTGCATTTCCATAATTTCATTGAACGAATTTGTTTTCACTGGCTGCCTGCCGTAGCAACAAACAGAATTGAAGAAACTCCCTTTCGTTGAAGATCAGACATAGACATCAAATGAAAGCGGAGGATCTAAGCTTTACAAATAAGTGTCATTTAATGATTGTGATTAAGTTATGATAAAGCATCAATAATTCTCGGTTTCGTTTTTTCTGGGACGCACTGTATAGTCATTGCAAATGAAAAATATTCTGCACTAGAATGTAGATTATATCAAGATGCATATATTTATTTAATATGTTACAGTCACTCTCTAAATACACCAAAACCAAGGGCATATTAATTGCACAATAAAGTATACAACATTTCATAACCAAAACATGTAACATAATGGCACAAAACAAACACAAAATAGAAATGAGATTTGCTAAAATATTGCAATATTTTGCGTAGCAGCTTCCGGTCGTCAAATCAAGAAGTTAGATTTTGACATTTTATGCAGCTAATATTACCAAAATTATATATACATGTACATACATCCTCAAAAGAACAAATACACTTTAATACTTTAATAATAACTGCAGCACCCTGTGGTTTGGAAATCGATGGTATATTAGATGGAAGACCTTGATTCCTTTTACCCTAAACAAACAAATAAATAATCATATTAAAGAACATCCCTAAAAATGAAGGTTTGAGGGTGGCTTTTATCGTGGTTTGGCAATCGATGGTATATTAGATGGAAGACCTTGATTTCTTTTATGCTAAACAAACAAATAAATAATCATATTAAATAACATCCCTAAAATGATGGTATGAGGGTGGCTTTTATCGCGGTTTGGAAATCGATGGTATATTAGATGGAAGACCTTGATTTCTTTTACCCTCAACAAATAAATAATCATATTAAAGAACATCCCTTAAATTGATGGTTTGCGGGTGGCTTTTATCGTGGTTTGGAAATCGATGGTATATTAGATGGAAGACCTTGATTTCTTTTACCCTAAAGAAACAAATAAATAATCATATTAAAGAACATCTCTAAAAATGATGGTTTGAGGGTGGCTTTTATCGTGGTTTGGAAATCGATGGTATATTAGATGGAAGACCTTGATTTCTTTTACCCTAAACAAATAAATAATCATATTAAAGAACATCTCTAAAAATGATGGTTTGAGGGTGGCTTTTATCGTGGTTTGGAAATGGATGGTATATTAGATGGAAGACCTTGATTTCTTTTACCCTAAACAAACAAATAAATAATCATATTAAATAACATTCCTAAAAATGATGGTTTGAGGGTGGTTTTTATCCGACTGCTAATTAGAAACAGTGAAAAAAATACATGGGGGCTCAGGGCGAAATAGCCCCCGAAATGCCCAAAAGAGCCCACGAAAATCAGAAAAGAGCCCCTGAAAATTTGCATAGAGTTCAATGCAAAACAAATTTTAGAGTGTTAATTTCATGCGGGCAAGCTTAAAAAGTAGCCCCCGAAAAAATAAATATTATTTTTTCCCTGCTAAGAAAGCATGTGACCAGGGGACCAACAGCTCGAAGTCCTCTCTGAGGAACTTGGTAATGAGGTTTAATGCCTTACCAAAGCCACAAGCACATCAACTTTGTTTTTTAATCAGGGATATTTTAGTTACAAGACCACTACACTACCACTGAGCCATTGAAGAGAAAGTAGCACAGCATAGAATAAAGAGTAAAATCGAAAGAAAGGGTTTTTGTGTTCCCACATTCTAGAAGTTGGAAAGCAGATTGTCTATTAATTTAAATAAGGGCATTTTAACACAGGGGCATCAGCGCATAGAGCTGTCTCAACAAAGGCGTGTTGGAAGACATACATAGGCAATATTTAGTCTGATCAATGTAGTAGTTATTTGGCAGCTCTAGTTTGTAACAATGTGATTCAACATACACAGCACTACTATGCCATCTCTTCTTCTTCTTATCGAGTCACTACACAAGTCCCGTCCAGTGGTCCACACAGGCTTTAGCACGGCAATTAACGGCTTCCAGGTCATCTTGGGTGCATGGCTCTGGCAGGAGTGGGCAGACTAGCAGGTGTTCCATTGTCTGTTCCTGGCCGCATTCACATGCCGTTTGTTCGTCTCCTAGACCCCACCTCTGCATTAGGACTCTGCATCGACCGTAGCCAGTTCTTAGGCGGTTGAGGCTAAGCCAGGTAGGCCAAGTCTCACTGGAGCCGGTTGCGAGGGATTCCTTCGGGCTGAGGGAGAGTTTATGTGGAGTGGTCTGAAGGTGGTTAGACCACAAAGTCATCCTTTGGTTGTGAGGGCTAGTATTAAGAGGCTCTACCGAGTGCAGAAAGCTGTGTCTGGATTTGAGCCGCTTGCCCACTGGCTGTTGTTCGAAGAGTGGGTGAAGTGGATTGTTTTCTTACTATGCCATAAGTCATCATGGCTTAACAAAATCATGCATTTCGTGTTCCTGACAAGTCTTTGTATGCTACTCTTTTAAAAGCTAAGTGTCCTTGTAAAAATAAGACATTCTATGTACACCATGTACAAGTAGACTTTACAATTAAAAGTATTTAAATTTTAACAACCGCACAATTAGTTAGGAAGTTTGAAAGACATACAAAATGATTTGACAACGTGGTTAAATCAGTTCCAATGGAAAAAAAGATCTGTCCAAGAGTACAACACCAAATTATTAACGACTTCTGATTTTTGGCACTCCCAAAAGCTTAAAGCCAATGTAAAGTTTTGGTAGCGAAAGGAAATTGAAAAGAAACTTGTTAAATATAGTGTTGTGATGTTTACCTTGTATTAAGAGATATGCACCGTGTGTACACGATTATTTGGTATTTTATCCATGACTTGAAGAGTAGAAACCAGCATGGATTTGAATGCATGTTGGAATCTGTGGATTGGTCCACTTTTATTTCTCATTTATTTGGTATTCTATCCATGAAGTGAAGAGTAGATACCAGCAAGGAACTCTAGATAAAAACAATACACTACCCTTTGTTAAGATCCTTCCACCCTGCTGGCTCCAAGCACACTAATCTCAGCACTTTACTTTGTGGAGTACCCCAGGGATCCATTCTTGGTCCACTTTTATTTCTCATTTATATGAACGATATTTGTGCATCATCTCAAAAGTTGGAATATATTTTATATGCCGATGATACCAGTGTCTTTTCATCCGTTAACAATTATGTTCTGTATGTTTTTAAGATGAATGACATAAAGACCATGGACCCGTTTCACAAAGTTTTGATTTCAGTAACAAATGACAAAAATCAGTGACAAATCTGCTGATAACCAATTGGAAGCAAAGATTTCAGTAGCTTATAACAAAAACTGTCATTTGTCACTGATGACAAGTTTTGTGAAACACCCCCCAGGTGCAGGTTATCATTGTTAGAATTTACGTCCTAAGAGGATGGTATTTAAATTATTTTCTACATCTCATATGTTTAATATTTCACTTAGGGAGTAAAAAAAACTCCACAAAAGCAAAGTAGTGTTAATATCTTCCTATTTATCATCTAGAAAATAAAAAAAATCTAATGAAAAGTGTTTGAGGGCTTACCAAAACTCTACATAAGTTTACAGCATAATTTAAGTATAGCACTTAGTAAACATGGGCTTGGTCACAACTTAAAGATAAACTTGAGTTCTGGTAAAAAAAGAAAATGAATTTTCACAGAATCTAACGAAACTTACACTGAATGTTCAAGATTACAAATAAATGTCATGTGCCAAACAATTCTGGAAGGAAATGTATACTGGCTGAGTAATGAGCATAGAAAGATAAGGAAATCAGGGTAGTACTAGCCCCGACACCACGTGTGTTGTCCCATATACATCTTTCTGTGTAAGTGATTGTTACTTTACCAAGACTCTGCCAAATTTATGATGATTTTGATGCCTCTAGAACCTTGCATTACACACCATTACTTACATGCTATATGATCAACTTTTCTGATCCATTCCACACCTTTTATTTCACAATGCAATCGCATTACCAGTACTCAAGTTTATCTTTAACCGTCACTACAGTGCTAAAAAAAGCAATACGATTTACAAAGTGAATAAATTCAATGTACATTATTTCAAAAAGGAATGCAAGGCTTAATAAGTAGATAAATTCTCAAGGCATAAGTAGTAGAAATTTGAATGATTTTCAAGGTATCATATTGGAGGATTAGACAAAACATCTCCTCTTTCAGAGACATTTACTTAAGTTCATTTCGGGTCAAAAATAGCATCTTAAAACTGTTTAAAACCCTAAACCATGAGATCTGACACCATGTTCAGACTTACACAAGTTAGCGTATAGCTATACACGAATCGCATGTTAACATTATAAGTAATTACACTATCCAGTATCCCATTTGAACGTTGTATAAAAAACGTTGTATAATGAAATGTCATATAGCGCAGCGCACGTTAGAGCATGATGTTTCATATGAACACGTTATAAAGAATCAGGGTCCCATTCTAATCTGAACGTTCTATCGTACAAAATTTGTTACTGTGAGCGTGCACTGCCAGCTGTCGGGTCAACTGACCTCTTCATAACTACAGTCCCAATTCCCAGATCTCATCTGTACGCCCCTCTTGTTTTACAACGCTTCATACAGCGTTACGTTAATTCTTTAATTTCACATAAACTTCATGTAGTATGAACAGGCTATGAAAGTAAGAACGTGCTCTCACTCCAACCCATCTTTATCAAAAATCTATAAAATCTTATTGCAATTTCACTGAAGACTTGAAGGAACACGGTTCACGAATAACCGTTTTGCTCGGGTCTTTGTCAATGTCATACCCACAATCTGGTTGGAGCGAGGCCCTCGGTTTCCCCCATGCTAGGCTGCAGGTTCTCGTCACATAAGAAGTTCAGCGGTGTTGACACCAGATGACCTGTGACCTCTGCGAGTCTCTCTTCAGCTGCATCGTGGTCGCTATGGGCAAGGGAAGGCTCTCTCTTGAACTGCTGCAATTCGAGGTAAGTGGTAGCTCTATCAGTCGGGATGCATTTGAACACCTATAGATATCCACAATTTGAAATTTGAAATTTGAAATTGAAATTTGAAATTTTGTGAATTGCATCCTATTAAAGAAAGATTCAAAAGCTGTAGATTATCATAATATACAGTAGTTGGTACCATGATAGTTAAAATGCAGCAGTTTGTATAGCTTTGTTCCAAAATGAAGTTTTTAACAGAATTCCAATATGTACAACATTCATATGAGAAGTGGGAGAAAAAGAACAAGTTATTTTAATAACTTGGAGACACGATAGCTCTGTTAGAGCGTAATCTGGAGGTCCCGGGTTTGAATCCAAGTTAATGCCCTAGTGCCCTTTGGTAAGGCATTAATCATCCTTACCAAGTCCCTCAGAGAAGACTTAAAGCCATCGGTCCCCTGTTTGCTTACTAACAAGCATACACATGCTTTCTTTAATATAGCAGTCAGGTAAAACAAACAAACTTACCTCATCATATATGTTGGTGTTGGTGACGGCAAACCTGGTCCATGTGTCGTTATAAAACGCATCTGATACAGGGTCCGATACATCAATACCATCACAACCTTTCAATATGCCCAAGTGCTCTCTGTTTTAATAATCAAAGACAAAAATACATATCGTTTACACATTAGAATCAATCACTTGATTTCATTTCATATGCTTTAATAATATGTCTTGTCTTATATACAGTAGGCTTGCAGGTGCACCATGTGAGAGAGAGAGAGAGGGAGGATTGAAAAGTCCTGAAAAAGACTCTCAGTTATCTTAACCTGAGGTTAAGTTTTTGATGTTGACGCTGTCGCCGCCACCGCCGCCGCCGCCACTGGAAAAGCGGCGCCTATGTCTCGCTTTTTGCTATGCAGGCGAGACAAAAAGTGAATTCTCACAGAATCAAACAAAACTTACACTGAATGTTCAAGATTACAAATAAATGTCATTGCCAAACAATTTTGGTAGAAAATGAATACTGGCTGAGTAATGAGCATACAAAGGTTAGTAGGCCCGACACCATTTGTGTAGTTCCATATACATATTTCTGTGTACAGTGCTTGTTACTTTACCAAGACTGGGCCAAGTTTATTATGATTTGATGTCTCCAGAACCTTGCAGTACACACCAATACATACATGCTACATGATCAACTTTTTCTGATCCATTTCACACCTTTTCTTTCACAATGCAATCGCATGATCAGAACTCAACTTTATCTTTAATGTCTTAGTACCCACCTGAAGAGTTGTTGCCTGAATTGGAGAGCAAACTTGCCGGCCATGTACCTCTCGCCGTCCATCACGCTTCCCACCATCTCCGTGTCCTCGATCAACACCGCCAGCTCGCTGTCCCGAGACCCCAGCATGCTGCGGTCGTTGATGTTGGCCGAGCCGAGGATGACTTTGGTATCGTCCACAATCATCAGCTTGCAGTGGATGTAGATAAGTTCTGTGACGAGCTTGCCACCGAGAGCATCATGGGTGCGAAGGCCATAGAAATTGATGTACTCTTCAGGTGAGGTGACTAGAACAGAGATGTCAGAAAATCAAACTGAAAATTAATACGATGTGCATTAATTAAATGTACACTCTTTCAAATATAATAAGCAAAAAGTTGGGAACAGAGTCATGGTCCATGATAGCTCAGTTGGTAGAGCAGTGGTCTCGTAATCCGGTGACCCGGGTTTGAAACCAAGGTGATGCGCTAGTGCCCTTTAGTAAGGCATTAATCCTCATTACCAGGCCCCTCAGAGTGGACCTCTAAAGCTGCCGGTCCTCTGGTTGCTTACTAACAAGCATTTGTGCTTTCTTATCAGTCGGGTAAAATAACCACCACTAAAACATATAGCAGTACCGGTATTGCCCCCTACATCCTCCTCAAATACAATCACTACCCCTACCCCCACCACTATCACCAACACAACCACCATCCCCACCACTACTACCACTACCACTACCACTACCACTACCACTACTACCACCACTACTACCACCATGAATACTCACTGCCTTCTTGATAGAGTCTTTGTAGGATTGCGTTGTCTCCTTTGATGATGGACCTGTACTCACTATGAACATGACTGACAAAGAAAGCGGACAAAATATACAGTTCGTCAGGAAGACAAAAGAACATCCCTTCACTGCTATTATGTAAAAATGTGTAGAACAGGTGTCACATGCATATTCACTTTTTACATAATAGCAGTGAAGGGATGTTCCATTGTCTACCTGAGGAACTGTATATTTTGTCCGCTTTCTTTGTCAGTCATGTTCATAGTGACTCCCAGTGAAGGATAACCCGTATGGAGGTACCGCTATCGCCCCCTACATCACTACCACTACCACCACCGCTACCACCACCAGCACCGCTACCACCACCCCCACTACCACCACCACCACCACCATGAATACTCACTGCCTTCTTGATAGAGTCTTTGTAGGATTGCATTGTCTCCTTTGATGATGGATCTATACTCCCAGTGAAGGATGACCCGTATGGAGGTACCGCTGTCGCTCATACCACCACTACCACTACCACCACCGCTATCACCAACACCACCACCACACCACTACTACCACCACCAATACCACTACCACCACCACCATGAATACTCACTGTCTTCTTGATAGAGTCTTTGTAGGATTGCGTTGTCTCCTTTGATGATGGACCTGTACTCCCAGTGAAGGATGACCCGTATGCAGGGTACTCGCTCATACCACCACTACCACTACCACCACCGCTATCACCAACACCACCACCACACCACACTACTACCACCATCCCCAACATGAATACTCACTGCCTTCTTGATAGAGTCTTTGTAGGATTGCGTTGTCTCCTTTGAGGATGGATCTGTACTCCCAGTGTAGGATGACCCGTATGCAGGTACCGCTGTCTCTCATACCACCACTACCACTACCACCACCGCTATCACCAACACCACCACCACACCACTACTACCACCACCAATACCACTAGCACCACCACCATGAATACTCACTGTCTTCTTGATAGAGTCTTTTTAGGATTGCGTTGTCTCCTTTGATGATGGACCTGTACTCCCAGTGAAGGATGACCCGTATGGCGGCACCGCTATCGCCCCCAACATCCCCCTCAAAAGCCGGTAGGAGTGGCATCAGAATGTACACACGGAATGTCTCACCAGCTCTTTGGAATGGAATTGATGTGAATTATGAGAGGTCTAACGTTTGGTCTGGCAATATCTGCTCCAGGACCGGTATTTAATTCAATACTTAGAATAAGTAAGAAATTTACTAAGTAAATGGCTATTAAAGCTAGGAAGTTTACTTCTCTTGTATTAAAATCCCATTTTAGACTTTTACTTACCTGAGACAAAATTTAAGTAAACTACTGTACTGATAAGCATTGTGATATCACACCGTCAATCAAAAGTAATGCGCAATTAACACGATGCAATAAATGCGTGCTAATATAATTGTTCGCAGGTTATGATACTGTGTAAGTAAACCATATGCCTGCCAATCAAGGCCTCTAAATAATTGGCCTAATGTCTGGTAAGGAGCTGCCTTAAATTTAGGGTAAAAATACTTAGCTAAAAGTTTGAATTGAATACCCAAAATTGGCTAAGTATTTTGTCAAAGCCAAATACTAAGTAAAAAGCTTAAATTTAATACGGGCCAGGTGTACAAAGATAGGGGTATATAATGAGTCATGCAAATATGAGATTTTGCTATCTTGGAGGGCACATGTAAATATGATATGATATAAACAAAATAATATCTATTACACCTGCAAAATAGCTCATGCATGGCTGAATATATGACACACTCTTCAAAGAAAATATCATCTGGCTCTGAGCCTGTTTGGAGCCGGACGCATATCGACTCTGAGTATCGTCGCCTGGCTGGCAGAAGGGTGTTAGCTCGAACTTCAGGTAAAAAATGAAGCGTTAAGCAGAAGGGCATTAGCACTAAATCGCCTCAAACTTTCATAAAACTGACTTATTTCCCAAAATAAAATTGTGGTCGAGTTCTACTATATAACATTTCTATTAAGCAGGGCTCCCACTTAGCCGAGTTGGAACCTCGAGTTGTGGCGAGCTGACGCGATCTTATGGCAAGCCGTTTTATTATCAATTGATATCAATAAATCAATTCTTGTTATCAAGAAATAATTTTATGGTGTAAAGCAATGGTAATTCTTGATATCAAGAATTTGATTTCGTGATATTAGGAATTCGATTTTTTAGGATATCAAGAATTGAATTCTTGATATCAAGAAATATGTTTTATTGATAAAACTGCTTGCCATAAGATCGCGCCAGCTCGCCACAACTCGAGGCTCCAACTCGGCTAAGTGGGAGCCCTGCTTTAGTCTTTTAAGTTTTTAATCAATTTTGGGGACAGAAAGTAGTTTAAATATTAAACAAATCTTTAAATGTGAATAATTTGAAAATAAGTTTTGGAGTCCCTAACGCCCTTCTGCCAGCCGGCCGACGGTATATTAGTTTATGCCCTTCAGGCTCCAAGCAGACAATATATCGATTAACCAATTGCCTACTAGAATTGGTTGGTTCCTGTATTAAGCCTATGGGCATTAGATAATTCAGTAGACAACGGGTTAAGAGAGTTACTCTGACTTTCACAAGACAATATTGAAAACCATGATGATGACATGCTTGATAAAAATCATGCACAAAGTGAATAATATACATAATACACCTACATAGAGGGATGGGGGGATAGAGGGAGAAATTAAGAAACGTGTGAAGGAGAGAAACGGAAGAAAAGAGGGAACAAGCACTGACGTTATCAATACAATACAAATAAAAGCTGGAGAAAAAAATAGAAAAAAGGAGGGAGACCAGACAGAAGGAGTGGGAGAAAGAGAAGAGACAAAGAGTGGGGAAAAGACGAACAAACGAGAGAAGGAAAGAGATACAATTATAGAAATAGAGAGATAGGGGAAGGGGGAGAGAGGGAGAGAGAGGGGGAGAGGAGGGGGAAAGAGAGGGGGAAAGAGAGGGGGGGAGAGAGGGGGGGGGGGGGAGAGAGGAGAGAGAGAGGGGGAGAGAGAGGGGGAGAGAAAGAGAGAGGATGGGGAGAGAGGGGTGAGGAGAGAGATAGAGAGAAAGTGGGGGCTGGGAAGAAGAGAGAGAGAGATAGATAGAAAGAAAAGGGGGTATGGGAGAGTAAAGCATAATATGCATGCATACCTATGAGCCCTTACAATCCTCTCAAAGATTGCATCCGCTATCCCATTCGAGACATCAGGGTCATCGGCTATAGAGACGAAGAATTGATTCTGAACATGCAAAAGAAAAATGCATACCAAGTATACAAGACAGCAATGATGAAATGGCAAAACAATATGAGCGATATGACATCAATGATACAGTGTTCTTTTAAAAACGAAACAAAATAATTCATGTGAAATTTGCAGATAAATGTGGAAAAAAAACACTGCACAACCAGAAGAAACAGCACATTGCATAATCTTAATATCAGGGTCCCCTTTAGAAAATTCCCATCACTGCCACCATAATCATCATCATCATCATCATCATTACCACCACTACTACCACCGCCACCATCATCATAATCATCATCATAATTACCATCATCCCGATCATCCCGATCATCATCATCGTCATCATCATCATCATCATCACCATCATCTACCATCATCTTCATCATCGACATCATCATCATCATCATCATCATCATCATCATCACCATCACCACCACCACCACCACCACCACCACCACCACCACCACCACCACCACCATCATCATCATCATCATCATCTTAATAACTGTCATCACCCCCATAATCATCATTACCATTACTTCCACCACCAACACCACCACTACTACCATCATCATCATCAGCATCATCATTACCATCACTACTACCATCATTTTCGTCATCGTCATGGTCATCATCGTTATCTTCACCATCACCAAGATCATCATCATGGTCATCATCTTCACCATCGCCAAGATCATCATCACCATCACCACCACCACCACCACCACCACCACCACCACCACCACCACCACCACCACCACCACCACCACCACCACCACCACCACCACCACCACCATCATCATCATCATCATCTTCACCATCACCAAGATCATCATCACCATCATCTTCTTCTTGAACTGACCTCTATGTAGATATAGTGTTTGCTGTTATTGATGGCATGGATGTAGGCTTGGTGAATGGAATCCTCGACATGCTGCATCCCAGCCGACCATTGGCATGAAGACCGCAAGATCTACCAAAAAAAAACAAGGAAAAAAGAAAATTACTCACAGGCATGTAGAAGCAGTTTTGCTTACACTCAATGTCATCACCATCACAAAAGGTCACTAACGGGGAAACACTGTATTCCTAGGGGTTAAAATAGTTTTGTGGGTAAACCAATGATTGTGTAACTCTAAGCTCTGTAACACTGCCCCCCCCCCCCCCCTGCCCCCCATCTCTATAAAAATGTCTACCCAGTTCGGTTCCATAGAAGAAGGAATAGTTTTAAACTTACCTGACATCTGCAGCGTGAAGCCCCCGGAGTGCAAGGAAGGCCAACATCTGAAACCGTAGCAGATGATTTAGGGATGAGTAAAGGAACATCTGACATCTCCTTCTTCTTCTGCTCCTGTTTTGATAGATATATTAAAGGGAGATGGTCGTCAGTTTCCATGTGCAGTATTCAAGGACACCACACTTGGTGGATAATAAAAATCATTAATGTGTGTACAGGTATTAGGCCTGCATTAAGTCTTCGGTTGTCGGAAAAGTGAAATAATGACTTTACCATGTGGGGGAATGGGTGGAAGACGCAGTATTTACATAAGGCCTGGTGGTCATAAAACTGAAGGCTAATTCTGGTGATTGACAGCACATCTTATTGGGTAAACAACCGATCGGTGTTGAATTCCCCATGAGAGCTGACTACTGAGTGTCTTTAAAGGGAGATGGTCGTCGGTTTCCATGTGGAGTAGAGCATTAGTCGAGGACACCAGACTGGGTGGTGATCCCATTAAAGGGATCTGGTAACTTTGTCTCAGATCCTTAGATAAAATCCTTCATTTAGCTCATGCTGCAATCATAATTATAAACCTTTAGGTCATTCAGGAATCCCAAGACTTTTACAAGCTGATCGCCTGTCTGATTTTTGAAGATATTTATGGTTGAAAATCGAAATTTCATTTTGCGCTTCCCAAACGGTTTTTATATCAATACAGTCTATTGGGGGAAATGAGTATGGTAAAACCGGTCACTCAAAGATTATTACTTTTTTGAGGCAATTCATGATAATTTTGAAGCACAATTTTGTTAGGGCTTCAATATTTCACCATATCAGAGACACTGATAACACATAGGGCCATGCATCTCAGATTTAACATTGTTAAACGATGCCTTTAATGGGTGGACAAGTCTGCACACAGCAGACCTGTAGTCCCATCGAAATATACCCCTAGTCTCTCAGAGAGTCTTCGGCTGAGGACAATTTTCCATATGAAAAAGAGCTTGGTGGAAAATGCAGAACATTATATAAAACTGAAGGATAATCCTGTTGATTAAAAATAGTGAACATTGGCCGAAATCACATACCTTTGTGAAATTCCACCTCTGTATGAAATGTCTGGCAACATCTAAGGCAGCCTTCCCATGAACGACTGCAGCAATGTCGTGCCAGGGCAGTCTGGGTACAGATGAACGATCCATCGTCTCTGGCGATTAAAAAAAAAATACATACAGATTATCACCATCGCCACGATATACATGCGCAAATCTTTTCTGAGCCCATTACCAACTGGAACCAGATGCGACATTTTAAAACCAAACCAAGCCATCCTAGCACTGCATATTAATATTTGAATATATGAATATTTATATAAGTACCCTTCTCTCTATTCTCATGAAAACCCTTTAAGTAAGCATAGCTTTGCACTTGGTAATTTTTGTATGAAATCTCATTATTTGATAAATTTGTGCATCAGATTCTGTGTGCGTGCGTGTCATGAATATTTATGATTACCGGTTTATACCTCTCTTTAGAAATTCTAGGTCTAGCTTGCCCCTATAAGTAACAACATACAACTATAGAAATACTGTTATTTGTAACAGGTGAATGAAATAATTTGTAATGAGGCACTCAACAAAGATTTGTATATTAAATTTGATTACTGGTAGGCCTAAAAAAAAAAGATGTTGTATTGCCCTTTAGGTGCCAAAACATGGGTCGGTCGGTCAGAAATCTTTTTTTTTTTTTAGCTCCCTCTTTAGGCTGATATTTCTCAGTTTTGAATGCTTAAACAAATTATTTTTCTAAAAAACTTTTTAATAAAAAATAATTAAAAAGCTGACCGTCCATTTCAACAATTTTAGGTTGGTCGCAAAGGGCAATACAATCTTTTTTTTTAGGCCTTACCGTTACGAAAATGGTCTATTCCATTAAAAAACTAGATGGAATTCGACTGCGCGCAGTCGAAAATGATGCCTCCGTCATAGAGCAATTTTACAAACCGAAACGGAAGAAATTTTTCAAATTCAAGTTCAATTGTAATCCATTAACATGTTCTCAGAATATCGTGATTACAAGCAATTTCTCATAAACATATATGACCCTTTGATCTTTGACCTCATGACCCTAAAATCTACTCAGTTCATTGGCTCTGCAAGATTTCCTGAGTTAAATAGTAATCCATCTGTCAGTTCTAATGAGAATGCTATTTTTGCATACATAATGAGCCCATGACCTTTGATCTTATGAACCATTCATTGGCTCTGCAAGATACATAAATGATCTAAGTTTGGCAGGAATCCATCAATCTGTTCTAATGATAATACGATCACAAGCTATTTTTGCATACATAATGAGCCGCATGACCTTGACCTTTACCTCATGACCCCAAAATCTAATCAGTTCATCAGCTCTGCAAGTAACATACATGACCAAAGTTTGGCAGGAATCCATCAATCGGTTGTTCAGATAACGCGATCACGAGCTGTTTTTGCATACATAATGCGCGCTGTGACCTTTGACCTCGTGACCCCAAAATCTAATCAGTTCATTGGCTTTGCAAGATACATACATGACCAAAGTTTGGCAGGAATCCATCAATCGGTTCTTCAGATAACGCGATCACAAGCTGTTTTTGCATACATAATGAGCCCTGTGACCTTTGACCTTTGACCTCGTGACCCCAAAATCTAATCAGTTCATCAGCTCTGCAAGATACATACATGACCAAAGTTTGGCAGGAATCCATCAATCGGTTGTTCAGATAACGCGATCACAAGCTGTTTTTGCATACATAATGAGCCCTGTGACCTTTGACCTTTGACCTACGTGCTCCAAAATGTAATCAGATTGTTTTCCTATAGTGATACACACTATCACTAAGTTTGAAGTTTAAATCTCCAGTGGTTCTTGAGATATCATGATAACAATCTCAATGTATGGAATTTCATAAGTTGACCTCTGTGACCCTTGACCTTTGACATACGTGCTCCAAAATCTAATCAGATCGTCTTCCTATGGTGATACATACTATCCTTAAGTTTTAAGTTTAAATCTCAAATGGTTCTTGAGATATCGCGCTAACAAACTCAATACAAGGAATTTCATAAGTTGACCTCTGTGACCTGTGACCTTTGACCTACGTACTCCAAAATCTAATCAGATCGTCTTCCTATGGTGATAAATACTATTCCCGAGTCTTAAGTTTAAATCTTAAATGGTTCTTGAGATATTGTGATAACGGTCAAACGGGACGGACGGACGGACGTACGGACGGACGGACGGACGTACGGACGGACGTACGGACGTACGGACGGACGTACGGACGTACGGACGGACAACCCGAAAACATGATGCCTCCGGCACCACCTTCGGTGGCGGAGGCATAAAAATTGCTTGCACTTAACCCACCTTCAAATGGGAGTTCTGGTTGGACCACGTCTTTGAAGATTGGATTGTAGTAGTCTTTGCCGAGCCAAAGCTGTTTAGCGCCCTCTACGCTTCCGAGTTGGTGCATTCTCTTCTCCACACCTGTCAGGTATCCATTATGGCCTGTGAAGATGTCATACATGGATTTTTTTTGTTAATAAAAGGGAGCATAACATTTTAAGCTAAGCTTTTTATTCATGAGCAATGTCTGACACGAGTTCATTAGAGGCTAAATTTAATTACTTTTGTCTTTTTTTATTATGTTAAAATGTAAATTGATGTAAATATATATATGAAATGTGAGATAAAACACCTCGGTAAGAGGACAAGAAAACAAATTTAGAGGCTAAGTCCAATCCAAAAAAAATTTCAGATGCAGAAAAACAAAAGAAACAGAGCAAAACAAATTTTGGGGAAAATCAGATAATTTATAAGGGAGTTATGAATTTGTTTAAAGAATGAACAAATATGGAACAATGGAAATCACTACACAAATTGCCAATTTGATTATCAGTTTGTGACGTCATTGCCTCACTATTTATCAATTGCTTTATATATATATATATATCCATAATTTCCCTTTTTATCCCCTAAAACTCGATTTCCCCATGCCTTCGCCCAGGTTATATGATTTGTATCATATTGCGTGCATGACATTTTACAAAATCATGAACAATTGGTGCCTGCATACGTAATGAGCGATGCACAGGGCTGTTTCAATTTTTGGTTTTGATCCTTAGAATCGCTCATTTAGTAATGATTGTTGGTCTCATTTCAAAAATAAGATTTTGAAGTTTCTTTGCCAAAGCACAAATGTTATATTTTCATCGTGTAAGTTCCTATTAAAGGGATCCGGTAACTTTGTCTCAGATTCTGAAACAAAATTCTGGATTTAGCTCATGCTGCAATGATAATTATAAACCTTTAGGTCAGTCAGGAACACCATGACTTTTACAAGCCGATCGCCTGTCTGATTATCAAGATATTTGTGATTGGAATTACATATTTACGGTTTTCATTACACTACAGTCTATTGGGGAAAACGAGTAATATTTAATATTACACCATATCACAGACACTGACACGTAGCGCCGTGTATCTCAGATTTAACATTGTTAAACGATCCCTTTAAAAAATTCAAAAATTTGACTTTGCATTAACTTCGATTTGACATGTTTTGTTAACTTGGAATGATTTCTCTATAAATCCATCTGGTATTGGAAGAGAAATGTCAAAGATTATATCAATTCATGGTAATGTATGGTTTGGTATTTTAATATTGTGTCACGCATCGCGGTTACATATACTGAATTGCACATGGATATACGTTGCATTTTAAGAACAAGTGTACAATTTAAAACAGTATCATTTACATCATTATAAGTACACGTATATATCACATGTTCATCCTTCATGTACCAAACGCAAAATAAAAGCAAAAGTATGTACAAGAAGGAAATAGGGAATATGTACCTAAATAAAATATGTCAGTGAGGAAGAGAGAAGGGAAAGATGTACAGAAGAGAGAGAGATAGAAATAGAGAGGAGGAGAGAGGGAAGGAAAGTGAGAAAAAGAGAAAGAGGATAAGAGACTGAGAGATAGAGTGAAGGAGAAAAAGAAAGAGCGGGAAAGATAGAGAGATGGAGAAAGAGAGAGGAAAGAGAGAAAAAGAAAAAGAGAGAGAGAGAGAGAGAGAGAAAGAGGGAGTTGAGGAGAGAGGTAAAGAAGAGGAAAGAGAGAAAGGGGGATCTTGCCAACAATTAGAAATTCAAAAATAATATTGCTAGTGATATTCGTTTGTCTCGCAATGTATGGTCAACAAGGGATCTAAAAGATTACGTTTCGTGCGCCGCTGCAACACTTCATCAGGTGATAAAATATAATGTAAGCAAGTGTGTAGAGTATAAAACATAATTTATATAATTTCGATACTACATCCGCAATGAGAAATATATTTAGCATTAATTACAAATTCATATAATATTAGTGCAATTTTGCACATGAACATGGATAATGCATAATGAAGTGGAGTATTGAAATACAAACCTAAACTTCCATTTTGGTTTCTGGCTTGCTTGGCTCTGCCATCCGGTACATCCTCCTAGTGTTTAAAAGAAAGTGTGGATTTATTATCAGTGAATTATAGACAAGGTTTCTCTCTTGCACAAAAACCTTATACTATTTCCTGTTTGACTTGTCATTTGGTATGGGGTCATGAATCTGGTTAAAATGAACATTTTGGAAGCATATGTGATCCTACAATATTCAGTGATCGTTGTCAGGGTTGAAACAGAGTCTAAAGTGATGAAATTGTAAATAATAAACTATTTATGTTGTATAGCTCCCTCTCAAGGTCAAGATATTAATTTAGCTATAAAACAATGTTTCTTGACTAAAATCAACAGATTGGCTATTCCCGTTTGGAAATTATATATTACAACTACATATTCTGAGATTTTCATGGTCGCAGCTACCATTGTTTGGCCGTAGGCGCTATTATCAAAATTTACTGGGAGAACCGGTAAATTTTTATATTCAAGTTTTCTCAAAAGCAAAAGTGTTTTAGGGGCTAAATTTTCTGGTGCTTATAATACATCCACATGGGCATCCAAATATATAAAAATTGTAAAGAATCACTATCCAACCAATTTTAAAAATTTCCCAAAACTTTGTATTACCTTTAATACTTGCTATACTGTTTGTAGCATTCTCAAGTGGCCTGCACTAAATTTGAATAAATGAATTGATTTGAAAATAACGCAATGCATGTAGCTTCATGTAGAGACAAGATAGCCCAAACCCTTTAAAAGTTTTATCATCACTTTTCACGCATTGGGTGTTGGCGTTGAACCCGAAGTAATCATGGGTATAACTGTAATAGGCATGCTAGAGGTAAGAAAATGAGATGAAATGAGAGACAATATCTTAAATAAACAGCAGTCTCAGAATACCGATGTCATTTTATAGAAAAAATAAACTATTTTAGAGATAAAATCATAATTTATTTATTTTCACTTTTCACACAAAATATGATGGGTGTTGTCTTTAAACCACACTAATAATGGGTATAACTTTAATAAGCACGCTAAAAGTAAGAAAGTGAGATGGAACATCTGAGATAAACAGCAGTCTCAGAAATAATGATTTGATTTTATAGAAAACATAAACTATTTTAGAGATAAAATCAAAAGATTCCTACCCCGACAGGCTCTTCCTGTTGATAGCAAGCATCCCCCGTATCGACCAGCCTGTGTCTGAAATCGTCCCATCGTCCGTAGCAGATGTCGATGCCCCCAATGAAGGCAATGCGCTGGTCAATGATGACGCCCTTCTCGTGGTGGGCCCAGAGCATGACCCCAGCCCCACCCGGGAGGTGGTCGGGGTGTCGCATCACCTGACAAGAGATTATAGTTGATCGAGAAATCACAAGATATGAAGTGGTAACACTGCGGCAGTTTTGTTTTTATACAAATGTAAAAATGGCAACTGCTAGTAACAAAGGCCCTAAGATCTGTGTTATAAAATACACAATTGCAAAGTGTGCTACAAATATACCATTAAAGTCCCTCTAAAGTGTTGGGAGCCCCAAAACTGTAAAGGCAAAAATTTTACTTAAATAGTATCCTAATGTGAAAGAGGATGTATTTTCCGCAAGGCTTTTCAAAACAATGTGTTTGAAGTCAAATATTGATGAAAAAATACAAAATTTTGGTTTTCGGGTACAAAAAAAAAACACCAAAATTATGTATTCTTTTATCAATATTTGTCTTCAAACACATTTTTTGGGGGAAAATCTTTGCAGAAGTGTGTCTTAAATAAAATCCTCTTTCACATCATGACACAATTTAAGAGAAATTTTGCCATCAAATTTTTGGCAAATTTGGGGCTTTAACAAATTGCTGCAGTATACCGCAAACAAAGAAGTTTATGGTTTGTATACATGGCCTATTCAAAACTTTTTTTTAATAATTCATATATTCAAGACTTGGATTTTGGCCACCAAGTATCCCATATGCCTGTTAGTATCAAGCCCTGCTTTGATATGTTTGCATAATATTAATCAGAAAAAAGAGGGTGTGTTCTCACTTTGATATTGGGATGTAGGGCAAGGAGAGTTTGCTTGGTGTGAAGGCTCCCTAGGTTGAGAGCTATTTCAACCTCCTTGTAGAGCAACACAAACACTTTGACACCTTCATCCTAATGAGAATAAAAGAAAAAACATTGATGGTATTATTCTTTATAACACCAGCCTATTGGGGAAAATATGGTGATATGTGATGTGGTGTAATATTGAAGCTGATATAACTACTACTACTGCTACTAAATGAGTATGGTAAAACCGGTCACTAAAAGATTTATTACTTTTTGAGGCACTTCATGATCAGTTTAAAGCGTAATTTGTTTAGAGTAGTAGTAGCAGTAGCAGTAGCAGTAGTGGTAGTAGTAGTAGTAGTAGTAGTAGTAGTTGTAGCATCATCATCATCATCATCCCCACCACCCATCATTATTATTATTACTATTACTATCATCACTGCACTTACTGCTTTTCTCTTTAGGATGCAATCCAGTCTCCATCTGTTGTCTTTTGTAGGTGGTCTCTTCAAGAAGATCTGAAGATTCAAACTAAAAACAGAACAAGAAAAAAGACACTCATAGTGAGGGGCATTATACCTACCTGTATATAAAGAAACCTGTTTATAAAGACTGTCCAAGAGACAAGGAAAGTGATCTGTTCAGGCGGTGATCCAACATACAAGCTCGTGTAACTATTACTCCAGGCTTTATTTTGGCAAAGATACAGGGTTAAGGTTATAGGGTTGCAATTAGGTTTTAGGTTAGGTTAAGGGTTAGGGTTAGGTAAAATAATTTTGTTTTATAAAAGTGTTAAAGAAAAAAAGACACACTCATATTAAAGCCCCACTGCATTACTTATAGCTACATGTACTTGCGCCCTCTATATAGCAAACAATGCCTAATCGGTGACCGCTGGTCCCCCATGATCCCCTTTTCCTTATGTTAATGGAGAGCTGATTTGATGAGATAACCACCTGTGGGTGACCTTGCAGGGAGGTCTAATCCCTCCTGGCTAAACTAGTCCAGACGTTACAGTACAAGAAAAAACGTATATAAAGACCGCTCAAGGGAGACATACAGGTGGTTGGTTGTACAGCACATGCTCCAGCGACATTTACTCTACGGTCCATATCCTAGTAGCACACTAACCAAATTCTGACCTTCAACTCTGTAGCAAACACCAAACCTAATCCTAATCCTAAACACTGGGCCTGACCCAAGACCTAACCTAAAACCCATTTGCAACCCTAAACCTTGCCCTTTCTCTTTAGGCCTGTCCTCATCAGCCCGAGTTTGCCAAATAACCCGCTATTTTCAGACTTGGGATATAAATCTTGAAGCTCGAAATTGTGTCTTCACCAGACCGATACGCCCATCACAAACTAGCTCGGACGGGCGCAAATCAGCCCGCTATTTCCCAAAAAGCAGGATATATGGAAACAAGACCAACATTTCTCAGGATAATTTCCCGACCAAATATCCCGCTAATTGCACTTAAAATAGCGGGGTTATTTGGAAAACTGATTAACTTTTGATCCAATTTAAGCCTGAGGCAAATAGTGCATGAGCACATGTTGGATCACCATACAAGCAGGTGGTGTTTGTGTACAGGTTCATTTTATAAAGGATTCAATGAGATACTTGAAGACAAGCATTGAGAACTCTGTAAAGGTGGTCTCTCTGAACAAACGGTTGTTAAAGCAAATCATACGTATCACATTGAAAAGACAGTCAGGTCGTGACCATCATGAACAGCTTCTTCAACGACATCTTCGAGCGAATTGCCGGCGAAGCTTCAGACTTAATCACATTTATATGCATGAAAATTGTTTGCGCATGTTTGTATATGTTCCCCAGAATGTGAGAGAATATATCTGATGTCTTTTTTATACATGAAAGTATGAAACAAAACTTTAGGGAAAAGGAAAAGCCTTGACTTTCATTTGAAGAGCATTAAAGAAATAGATCACACACTTCTTTCACTTATAAATGCATGTGCAAACATCTATTATGAGAGTCCATCAGTAACAGGGATGATAGTGAAAGTTTAAAAAATTAGATTTTAGTGAGAGTTTTCAAACAAAAGTTTTTAGAAACCCGAGCGCCTGCGCGAGGCGTTCAAGCAAGTCATGAAAAAAACCCACCTTATCCCCATAATTTTTTTTTATCTAGTAAAAATCAGGAAGAAAACAAATTCCAAAACCGATTTAAATCAGGAAATTATCAGGCCTGCAATAGCTTGAAAAATGTCCCTCAACCATTTTTTTTTTTTTTTTCTCATCATATTTTCCCTTACAAACACAAAGCCATGATATCTCTTCAAAGAGTGTTAGTAAAAACCAAGAGAAGCATCTGTCCAGCATTCATTTGTTTATTGGTATGAGACACATCACACATCTTTTGCTTACAATCCCACATTAATCCATTTCAAGAGAGCATGAGAAGTGGCATTCTACCAATCTTTTGTTTATCTGTTTCATATCAAATGGAATGTAAACACATCTTTTGCTCAACAAAGCAGACCATTTAAAGAGAGTTTGTACAAGCGATGAGAAATGGCATTCCATCAACACACAGCAATCGATTCAAAAGAATTTGGGATCCTTTAGAGACTTACCACCAGTGTTTGTATCATTTTTCTGTCATATTAAAGAAGAGTTTAGACGAATGTTTTACTTAGAAATATACAGTCATCAATTCAAGTTTGTAAAAGCCATAAGAAGTGATTGCTCACCATTCTTCCTTTACTATTTCCATCACATCAAAGAGAAAATATTCATTGAATCTTTTATTTATGAAAACAGAGCCATCCAATAGAAAATAATCTGTAAAAGCATTGAGAAGTGACTTGCCAACAGTCTTTGTTTCTTTATATCCTACATGAATATCACGCCCGTATAAGCTTTTTTTAAGGGGGGGGGTTCTCAGGGTTGTCAACTTGATTTCGTGAGAAAATATTAGCGGCGAAAAAGCGGGGGGGGGGGGTGTGGGGGGTTCGGGGGGAGTGAGCACCAATTTTTGTTTAATCAACACCATCCCCCTCTTGAGCAACAACAAAAATACTAGTTTGTACAGGGGTGTATCTATAATAATAATACGCTAAGGCTCCGCGGGGGGCGCGACGTCTCGGCGAGCCTTTGTATTCTATTGTTTTTTAATGAGATCGCCGACCCAAGTTGGTGCGGCTATCTCCTCCTGAACCCTGCCCTCGGGGTACCCGTGCCCGGTGCCATCGTCCGCGGGAGAGTCTACTCTAGCGAATTGGCTATACTCCGCCCGAGGTCCTCCTCCGTGTCGACGTCCAGGGCGAAAACAGACGCGACATGCATAATGCAGGATATGCGTGACGACAGAGATACCTCATGGATATTCAACATGACATCCGTAGACACACGACCGATGACTGTCCACTCACATTAAGTTGCGTATTAAATGCACGACGCACAGGGTCGGGCTTACCCGAGTAAAGCATCTTTCTATAGGATATCCATTGTATAGGAGCTGCACGAGCCACAGAGATACACACGAAGCTTCCCGTCCACGTCCAAACTTAGGGACCTATTTCCATCATTATTTTCGCGATTTTTATATAGGTGTCGTGAATGGAGGTATGAAATGAAAGCTTATTTTGTGATTATTACGGCCATGCTACTAAATTTTGATTATCATTTTCTAAAGGAAAGTTTTCACAAGAAAACCATTGGACTGACAATTCAGTCGCAAGCTGCCTTCAGTCAGTGCAGTGCTGCTGTGCAGTGTGTGTGAGCTGCAATTTAACTCCAGCAAGCTCCAACACCGGCTCCGCGCACCGCAGGCGTCCGAGGCCTGCGGCGCCGGTGTTCGAGCTTTCTGGAGTTACACTGTGTGTGTGTGTGTGTGAGTTCAGCTGAGCTGAGCTCGAGTCGAATAGATTTGACACTTTGAAATTGTTATCTGTTGGTTTGCATCATTATTGCCGCGATTTCAATATAGTTTCGTGAATAGATTTACGAAACCTGATCTTAAAATTAGTAGTAGTATTACTAATGTTTACGTTTTTAAACGACTGTCTGATTTTCTTGTGAAAATTTTACTTTGAAAAATGATTATCGAAATTCATGGTCAGAAATAATCACAATCTAGGGTCTATTATGTTACAGTTCTTGCATCAAATCAATGCATGAAAACTTAGTTATTGAACTAGAAAAATGTTTTTTTTTTAAATAGGCAATTATGAAGTGAAGCCTGAAACCTGTCCTGAGCCTATACTAAACAAATCTCAACAAAGTGTAGGCCTATCCTTTTATGAATTAATGAAAAAGTAGCCCCAGAAAAAAGAGCCCCCGAAAGTTGGAAAAAGTAGTCCCCGAAAATTTCCCAAAAATTTGAAATGGAGCCCCCGAAATGAAAAACTTAATTTTTTGCCTGCGCCCCCCTCTAGAATCCCTCGGATTTCCGTGGGTCCTGACTTGAGTGTATATATAATATAGGCGTGGGGTCCACGGGTTTCAAGGGGCCATAAAAACCCCAAAAGCTCGGGGGTTACGTTCTTCAAAGTTGGGGGGGGGGGGTGTGGGAGATCGAGATCAGATCGCAGCGAGTTGAGTGTATATATAATATAGGCGTGGGGTCCACGGGTTTCAAGAGTCCATAAACCCCCGAAAGCTCGGGGGGTTTAGGTGTTTAATTAGGGTCAGATGAGCATATTTTTAATACTTTATTTGTGACACTTGCGGGTCACTAATTGGCGTGGGGTCAATACGTAGAGTTGCGTAGTGTTGCGTACAAACTACGCTGGCCTACGTAACTATATGCTGAGGAACGAAAAGGGGTACGCAAGATGAAAGAAAACAATTCAACATGTTTAATTTTTTTTGCGTACTTTCGGCGTAGAAACTTGACGCAGAAAGCAGCCTTTTTACGCAACACTACGCTACATGCCTACGCAACAGTACGCTATCCTACGCCAGATCGACAAAGCAGTAAAAGCTTTCCACACAGTAAGCAACCATAAGCAAACCTGTACGCCAGCCTACGCATAACCTACGCAGGGACTATTTTCCCATTAATACGCAGCCTAATTTCTGCGTAATCGGTATGCCACACTACGGAACTCTACGCAGTTCCAGTGGCTTAAAGGATAACTACCGGTACAGTTGGATCGTTTTTTAAATTTTTATATAAGGCCAAATTAAAAAAAAAACATGTTTAGCGTCCTGTTTTTTTTTGAAAAATGGGAAGGAGGAGGCCCTTTTTTTTTCTTTTTTTTTTCTTTCAAAATGGCCGCTCCGTACATTTTTCCCTGACATTCGGGCTATTTTTCAAGATGGCGGCCGACAATTTTTTTTTTCTTATTTAAAATCAGAAATACATTTTAGCAGTGCTTTTCATGTTTTTTTTCTTTCAAAAAAAAAATAAATAAATAAAAAAAAAAAAAAATAAAAAAAATAGGAGGCGGCCCCCCAAAAAGGAAGCAGGCGGGGACGCTGTTTTTTTTTCTTTCAAAAAAAAAAAATAGGAGGCGGCCCCCAAAAAGGAAGCGGGCGGGGACGCTAAACATGTATATTTTTTTAATGGCCTGAATGGCAAATAAAGTTCTTGGTGGTTTTAATTTAGACAGTCTCTATATATCTATTTACACCCCCCCCCCCGCCCACCTCTAGAATCCCGCGGATTTCCGCGGGTCCTGCTAGTATATAATCATATTACTTATGAACATACAGCTACCTCTTCAAAAACTGGTCTTCAAATCCTATCACCAGGATTTTGTTTCTTATCTCATTAACATTAAAGAATACGACCACATCTTTTCAAACATGCATACAGCCATCTATTGAAAGAAGTTCTTGAGTTCCTCGAGAAGTGACTTACCACCAGTCTAAGATGAAGATCTGTTGTTTGGCTGTCTCCAGTGCATCAGCGATGGACTCAAAGTAGTCCGAGCCATCTGCAAACCTTAATACGAAAATCAGAGATGTAATCTGGTCATGAAAACTATTAAAATGTTTGTAAATGTCTTTGAAAATTTGTACAAAGCCAATAGGCCGACTAAGACAGAGAGCGGAAAGATCATACAAACTAATGAAGACATGCATCATTTGTTTTACACAAGAAAACTCCTAGATCCTTGATATTTGATTTAAACAGCATTCATTTGAGGAGTGGTCTTTGTCATTACCTATGGCAATTAAACTCCAAGTAATAGGTTTCCTCTATAGTGCACATCTGGGCCCTGTATTACAAAGAGTTGATATCAACTTATTTACGATTGATATCAATCGCAATTATGTACATAAGAGATAGGAGATAGCAAACTTGCGATTGATTGGAGGACTTGCGATTCACACACACAGAAGGAGAAGGAGAAGAAGAAGAAGAAGAAGGAGAAGGAGAAGAAGGAAAAGGAGGAAGATGAGGAGGAGGTGGAGGATGAAGAGCAGGAGAAAGGAGAAGGAGAAAAAGAATAGGAATCAATATAAGTTCTACATTGGCTGGTACTCACCCCTGAACCAGGGTGTCGTCCCTCGGAGGCGCGAAGGAGCCGTGAGGGTTGTCAAAGGTGTATTCACAAGATTCTGCGGTTCTTGCAATATCAGCCTTCCAGTCCAGGGCCACTGACTTGTGGTTGCACCGTAGAAGTAAATTCCTGGATAAAAAATTAACCCACATTCAAGTACAGTCAAACCTGCTTTAGTGACCACCTGTCTACAAAGACCACCTGTCTACAACAAGCACATGTTTTGTTTCCCTTGAAAAGGGTTTCTCATTGAAACATGTACTAAAGGAACCTGTCTACAAAGACCACTTTTTGTGTATTCCTTGGGCGGTCGCTGTAGACAGGTTTGACTGTATGTACTAACATAAATAGGCGTACTGAAGAATATTTTGCAGATTATGTCAAGTACATACAGTATTCTGTTTAACCCTATTTTAAAGGTACTATGTCCCTTTTGCAGCCAACCTCAAATTCTGTAGAACTTTGCAGGAATTATGAATATGTCATGTATGTCCTATCTGTGAAATTTAAACGTTAGCAGTGTCCTCATATTCAAATTATGCAAGGAAACCCATTTACTTGCTAGACTTCACTGTCAGACACTATTGAGTACTGACTGGCTTTTTTTCTTCTTTGGTAATAATATACATCAAAAGAGTAGTAAAGGGTACATGAGCATTTGTCTACATCAATAACCCACTTCTTGTGATGGCCAAGATTAAACTGATTGAATCTTTGCGCAGCATAAAACGTATGACCATTCGGTACAATTGTCTGAAAATCAAGACTATTACTTTTGGGCTCTATAGCCCTAAAGTCGATTTGACAACTAATAGTCATTATTTTCTCACTTGAAGACATTTTCAAGCCCCACCTTTTTTAGGGAAGTTCTAATGCAGTTGGAATTTAACTTTTTCATTTTTTTGGCCTGCAAATGGGACATAGTACCTTTAACTGGGCTATTTCAGACCAGGTTTTTACTGGGGGGTTGACCCCCCCCCCCCCTTTAAGATCTTGGCCGTTTCAATGCCGATCGCCACGAAAATTTGCATACCGGTACATGTCCTAAATTTCCCTTTTCATTTATTTTGATTTAAGATATGAAATATGAATTAAAAATTTTAAAATTGAAGAGAACCGTTCTAATGCAAGTCTTCGGAGAGCTTTAATAGGAGTATATGGTTTACAACAAAAAATGCGTTATCTTTTTGTGGCAAAGTTGAGTTGGTCACAGTGGTGCACACATCAAAATATGATACTACTCTGGAAATCAGAGCCAACAGTGGCATGAAAGGTCTGCCATATTTAAGTCCAACTTTAAGTCTATCTTAGTCTTTGTGAAACACTCCCGATCTCACACACCTTAATGTATTGATCTTCAGACCGTGGGCGAGGCCCATATTCTCTCTCTCTCTCTCTCTCGATCACAAGAACGGGACAGACAACCAGAAAACATAATGCCTCCAGCTACTTCGTAACGGAGGCATAAAAATATTATCTAAATATCATAATGACGAGAGCAAAAAGTGGTAGAACGGCCTGCCATATTTAAGTCCAATTTTAAATCTTAGTCCTTGTGAAACATTCCCGAACTCATGCACACACCTGAATGTATTGGTGATCTTCAGACCGTGGTAGAGGCCCGTATTCTCTCTCCCAACGGCAACTTTGAGATCTTGATCCATCAGCAACACCGCCCTCAACAGGCCGTCTTTGGGTCGGACGTAAGCCACAAATGAATCCTTCACAATCAGCCACCTGGTAAATAGGAAACAAAATAATGTGCTCTGAAATGGAATGCCCTATACTTTGAATACTACTTAAGCTCTTGCACTTTTCTGTCTTTGGGTCGGACGTAAGCTACAAATGAACCCTTCAAAATCGGGTAAATAGGAAACAAAATGATGTGCTATAAAATGGAATGCCCTATACTTTGAGTACTAATAAAGCTTTTGCACTTTTCTACCAAAAAAAATCATGGCTTACATTTTGACAAGTCAAAAGAAAAGAAAAAATCAACAGATGTTTGGGTGCCTGAAAAGTAAAAAGAAAAACAAACAAACATAAACACATGGCAACTTCTGAAGTGCCTTTTTACTCCCAAATTTGGATAAGCAAATGAAGAAAAAGATTATTCAAAAGGGATATTTCTCAATTGATCTACCAATGAATTTAGCAGTGTTTGATAATTGCTACTTCATGTGCCCTTGCCCCCATGATACTAGGGCGCTTTCGCAAACACGACGGAGGGCAAAGACGATTGTAATGCGATCAAAAAAACAATCTGCGCATGCGGGAACCAGAATTTTCTCCGTCCTGTGGATCTTCACGACTGTACGTGGCCATGATAGCGTTTGTTCCCTAAACACGACGGAAGGGCTATATCGCCCTAATTCTTCAGTCGTCTTTGCTTCCGTTGTGAAAGGTATATGTACTGCACTTCTCTCTTCGATGGTAGTTTACAAAAAAGGAGCAGTTGTGTAAACATCAGGGGTGATATTGAGCACTAAAAAAAAGAAGAAAAGGATTCGGGGGAAAAAAATGGCATCTAACAAAATCCCCCCCCCCCCCCTTTTGAGTACGAAAAATTGGGAAGTAATAGGGGAAAATAGGGAAGAAAAGGACCAGGAACAAATCAGAAAAAATTTAAACAATCAGGAAACCAATTTAAATCAGGTTTTTATCAGGCCTGAACCATGAATGACCTTATGAAACAAAAGAGAAAGACTTACCTTTTACTGTAGTGACTATTAGCACTGCAGGAGAGAGATGAGAAGCAGCCCAGCTGAACCCTTCTCCCACCTGATCTCTTCATCACCCAGCCCTCTCTGCGAGAGTGAAAATAAGAAAAATTATGATAATCCTGTTTACTAATATTACTTCAGTTATTAAAGAGAGATCGATGGTTGTCAGTTTTCATGAGCAGAAGGTCATAATTTGTCATAATGGAAATATGTACCATGAATTGGTGTACAAGTCTCACACACTTACAGCAACCTCATAGTCACATCAAGAAAAAACCCTTAGTCTCTCAGAGTCTTCAAGTAAAGGAAACGTAAGATAATGACTTAACCATACGAGGGGGTGCCAGGGTTGGAAAATGCAGAGCATTGCCTAAGGCCTGTTGGTCATAAAACTAAAGGCTAATCCAGGTGATTGACATGACCTGAAAATTTGTTTCGAAAAATGTGCAAGACTCGAGAGAAAAAAGTCATAAAATTTCTGTGCAAACTAGATTATCGCGAAAAATGTAGAGGGGGGGGGGGGGGGGGGGGGGCTTATATAGGGTTAAGCATGCATTCAGAAGAATCCCTAAGTAACATTCCACCCCCCCCCCCCCCCCCCCCCCCCCCCCCCCCCCCCCCCCCCCCCCCCCCCCCACCCCCAAACCCTCTACACATCACACAACTTATTATACTGTGAACTTGTACTTACTTCCCTTTCTCACCAAGCTCATCCACAAAAGAGATATGACTGACCTCCAGGAATTCCAACTGGATGAGCAACAAAATGACACAAGTCACACATCATGAAAATAGGAATTAAATTAAAGGCAGACATTCATGAAGGGTTTGAAGAAAACACGATTGAGCAGTACATTACAAAATATAAGAATGTTTTTATTGATTTGTTACTTTATGATTAATATAAACAAATCTATGATCTACATGTTCGTTTTGTAGACACAATTAATTTTATGCTAATTTTTGTTTTCCTAACGGTTGTTATAACACTACAGTCTACTGGGGAAAATGGGTATGGTAAAACCAGTCACCGTTCAAAGATTTTTACTTTTTGAGGCACTTCATGATCATTTTGAAGCGCAATTTTTTTAGGGATTCAATATTACACCATATCACAGACACTGATAACACATAGGGCCATGCATCTCAGATTTAACATTGTTAAACGATGCGGCCTTTAAACAGTGACACTTGACTTTGACTTTGTTGACTTGACTTTATTTCTGCTTTATTTTGAAAAGAGGTAGCTGCTGATTGGCTATTTAAAATTAGGACTATAAATGGTTCCAACTCTTGATCAATGGCTAGGTATATCAGCATATTCAGGTCCAATGGCAGAGCTGCTAACCTTTTGCAACCAAAAAACGGAACCATGAAGGCGAAAAAAAGGAATTTCAACCAAAAAAAGCATGTGCGACACCCTTCCAATGCAGATATGTCCATTCCCCATGCTGTTATTTTACTTAAGTACATGTAGGTAGTTTTTTTTTTTTTTTTTTTGATGGGCCCTGGGATTGGATCTATAAATTTGTACTCATAAATCTCTATTGAAGTTTTCTATTGAAATAGTGATCAACATTTTAGGGCATTTGGTTGATGTACGGTATGAACAACAAAAAACAAAACAAAAAACATATTTTATGAAGAAAAAATGTACTACCCTAATTTTGAGAAAAAATTGAATAATTCCGGGAAAAACGTAATGGTTTCCAGGGGGTGTTTCACAAAGATCCTAAGTTGAACTTAACTTTAAGTTGGACTTAAAAATTATGGAAAGCCATTAGCATCTTGGAAAATATTTTGTAAAAGTTATTTTGAAAGGCATTAATTGTTTATTCAAATCATTCATATTTTCTATCATCAAGGAGATTTCATGTTCTGGATGTGGAATTTATAAAAAGTCTAAACTACTTGAATTTCTGCTTTTTAATGGATTTCATTTTAAGACTCCAATGGCTGTCCATAATTTTTAAGTCCAACTTAGAGTCAAGTTCTACTTAGGATCTTTGTGAAACACCCCCCTACTCTGCAATTGCATTTCGTTCCAAATTCTTACCATTTTAGGATGGTTTATGTAGAGTGGATTATTGGCGACGCCCTGTAGATATTTCTCCAGCTGGAGCTGTTAACGCAAAATAAACAAAATCAAGGGTTATGCTAACACATAGAACTCTCTTGCTTCATCTCTCCTTTGCCCATCCATTTCTCCTTTCCTTATGCATTTCCCTGTCATGCTCTCTCTTTCTCTTCTCTTGTCTTCTCACTTAACTTGAATATATATTAAAGGTATTACAAAGTTTTGGGAAATTTTGAAAAATGGGTGGATAGTGATTCTTTACAATTTTGATATATTTGGATGCCCCTGTGGATGTATTAAAAACACTAGAATCTTTAGCCCCCAAAACACTTCTGCTTTTGAGAAAAATTGAATATAAAGATTTACCGGTCCTCCCGGGTTAATTTTGATAAATTTCAAGTAGCTCCTACCACCGTACAATGGTAGCTGCGACCATGAAAATCTCAGAATATGTAGTTGTGGTATATAATTTCCGAACGGGAATAGCTAATCAGTCGATTTTAGTCAAGAAACATTGTTTGATAGCTTAATTAATATCTTGACCTTGAGAGGGAGCTATACAACATAAAGTGTTTAATATTTACAATTTCATAACTTTAGAGTCGATTTTGACCGGGACAACAATCAGTGAATATTGTAGGATCGCATATGCTTCCAATATGTTCATTTGAACCAAATTCACGACCCCATACCAAAACTTTGTATTACCTTTAATTTACCCCTTCGCCTTTCTCCCTCCCCTGTTTTCTGCATCTCTTCTCCTCTTTCTTGCTATACCCACTACCTGACTGTTATCACATTCTCCTCTTCTCTCCATCATCTTCCTCTGTAGGTCTGGCTTCATCGGCTCAAGTTTGCCAAATAACCCGTTATTTTCAGACTCTGGATATTATCTCGAAGCTCGCAATTGTGTCTTCACCAGACCGATACGCTCATCACAAACTAGCAAAGTAGCCCGCTATTTCCCAAATAGCAGGATATTTTGGAAACAAGACTAACATTTCTCAGGATATTTTCTCGAACGAATAGCCCGCTAATTGCAACTGCCGGCTGATGATGAGGCAAATCAACTGGTTGATTTGCGATCGGGATAGTTAAAATAGCGGGTTATTTTGCAAACTCGAGCTGGTGAAGACAGGCCTACAGAGGAAGATGACGGGGAGAAGAGGAGAATGTGAAAACAGTCAGGTAGTGGGTTTTGCAAGAAAGAGGAGAAGAGATACAGAATACAGGGGAGGGAGAGAGGAAAGGGTAAATTTAATATATAGTCAAGTTAAGTGGGAAGACAAGAGAAGAGAAAGAGAGAGCATGACAGAGAAATGCATAGGGGAAGGAGAAATGGATGGAGAAAAGAGAGATGAAGCGAGAGAGAAGAGGGAGAAGAAAATAGCTTCAAATATAATAAATATATTATTAAGAGGGAGAGAGATGACAGGAAAATGCATAGGGGAAGGAGAAAGGAGAGATGAAGCGAGAGAGAAGATAAAGGGCAAAGAAAATAGCTTCAAATATAATATACGTATTATTAAGACAGAGATAGGTAGATTGATTGAATAGGAGGAAGACGGAGAATAACATATGCAACTGAAACAAGCAAAAAGACTTGTACAAACATCAGTACCAATTTTTTGTTCAAGCAAACAAAAAAGGTTATCTTTCGATCAAAGTACAAACAACGTCTTTGCACAACATGTTGACATAATTAATCAATACAAGTAATTATAAGTTCTGTCAACATTTTCATGTAAATAATTAATGACTATTGACACCCCATACAGAACTGAGCTTAATGCAGTATCAATGTACTAGCGGATATATCTTTACACCACAACAGAGCTCTCTCCAACTTTATTTCAACACATGAACTGAATCATGAAGAATTGTGTTTTGAGGAATGTTTTTAAATACTCAGACTTGTCCCATACATGGACCCATTTAACAAAGCCTTTTTTTCAATGACAAATGACAAAAAACAGTGACTAATCTGCTGATAACCAATCAGAAGCAAGGATTTCAGTAGCTTATAATAAAAACAGTCATTTAATTGTCACTGATGACACTTTTTGTAAAATCGGACCCTGGAACAACATTTTCAAGTCATCCTGATCACTGGAAACAGATCTTTGCTTTGTATTTTCCAAGACATACATGCACATGTATTTTACAAAGCCCCGCCACCCCCCCCCCCCCCCCCCCCACTCAGTGTTATTTAGGGTACGCATATGCTCATTCCCTCTTTTTGAAAGCACCCCCTATCTGAGGACTGCCAACATTTCCGAACACCCTTTCGTGGGCTTTTCCTGCCTTGGAGATCCCCTAAATCATGAAAAATGCTCAATGTACCCCCCTAAATTTGGAATAATTTCTCAGGAGTCCAAAGAGATGAGAGAAAAAAAAAACCCTTTTTAAAGAAATCTCCGGGTGAAAAGGTAATACACCCCTTTTTTTACAATTCTCGGGCCGGACTTTGTCGCACGAAAAGGACCCCTTTACCGGACATTTTGGTAACACGCATGGGGTCCGTCCATTCTCGGAGTGGGGGGGGGGCCGGGTACAAAGCATCTTTCCTATCATGATGTACATAAGAGGAAGTCAACTTTAAACGGATTGAGTAACTTTGTCTCAGATTCTGAAACAAAATCCTGGATTTAGCTCATGCTGCAGTGATAATTATAAACCTTTAGGTCAGTTAGGAATCCCACGACTTTTACAAGCCAATCACCTGTCTGATTATCAAGATATTTATGATTGGAAATCAAAATTTAAAGATTTGTTTTCATAACGGTTTTTTATAACACTACAGTCTATTGTGGAAAATGAGTATGGTAAAACCGGTCACTAAAATATTTTTACTTTTTGAGGCACTTGACAATCATTTTGAAGCACAATTTTTGTAGGGCTTCAATATTACACCATATCACAGACACTGATAACACGTAGGGCCATGCATCTTAAGATTTAGCATTGTTAAACAATGCCTTTAAGCTTTTTATTAGGTTAAGCTTAATAGGGCCAGCGTGTGCTTGGGTAGGTACACAAGTGTACAGAATTTTGAAATCCTTTGAGGAAAATACTGGATGTAGCTAAGCTTTTCATTCAAGGTATGCCATCATTATCAAAGTAGGTCTACATGTATGCGTACAAAATGCACACTTCAGAAAGTACTAGATGTTGTCTTCTTTCCACAAACAGAAAAATAAAACCTCTATCTCTTTGATAGAAGATAATTTAAAATTCACAGAGTGGGATATGTCATCGTTTGAAAGTTCTTTGGCTTGATCTTCCAAATTTTGTGACATGCATGGCAATTCATTCTGCTCCCGATCAAATGGCACAACATTACTGTACACTATATCTAAAAAAAAAAGGGGAATCTCATTATAAAGACAGAGGTAATAGTGAGCATTAAAAAAATATTTTTTTAAAAAATTCCCCCTCAACCATGCTCCCCTTGAGAAAAAAAGAAAGAAGAGAATTGGGGGGGGGGGAATGGCATCTTACACATTCCCCCCTTTTAAGTAAGAAAATTTGGAGAAAATAGGGAAAATGACGGAAATATCAGGAAAATAGGGATAAAAGAAGAAAAAAAATTGGTGAAAAAAAAAAAAAAATCAGGAAACCATGTTAAATTGGATAATCATCAGGCCTGAAAGAGCTCTGATAAAACTCTCAATATAAGTTGAGTTCTGGTCATGCGATTCATTGTGAAAGAAACGGTGTGGAATCGATCAGTAAAAGTTGATCGTGTAAGGCATTGATATAAGTATTGGTGTGTACTGCAAGGTGCTGGAATCATCAAAATGATAGGAAATTTGGCCCTGTCTTGGTAAAGTAACAAGCACTGTATATGGGACTACACAAACACGGGGCATAAAAGCCTGTCCTGATTTTTATGCTGTTACATGCCATATTTAGAATATTAAGGCATTTGAAGAGCCATGCTTTTCAGGGAACGTTTTTTCTCTGATGTTCTTCCACACTTGCATAATAATAATGAAAATGCTCACAATTTATTTTTTACCTCTCCCGGCCCAGAACTCAACCTTCTCTTTAATATAAAGGCCGTCTATACTAGTTTGGCCAGGAGGGTTTAGACCACACAGCGTGGTCACTGACAGGCGGCTATCTCATCAACTCAGCTCTCAATTAATATAAGAAAAAGAGGATCGTGGGGACCAATGGTCACCGATTTGGCATTGTTTTCTATATAGAGGGAGCAAGTAGCTACAAGTAGTACAGTGGGGCTTTAAGATGACTATGGTTACCATTCTTTTGGACAGCTGATGTGCCCGGACGAGCGCATCTAACGTCCTTGGGAAATGAGGTAGGTCGTTGACATCATCTGGCAGTTCTCTGAACGTTCTGTGCCTCTCCCGATGGCTGTAAATTTAAGGGGAAAAAATATGATATTAATTCATTTTATGACAGTTTAAGTTCTATAAGTCAGAAATGCCAACCTCTTGACATAAAAAAGCAGACTGAATATCCTAAAAATCAGATTTTGGAGAGAAAAATCACGATTTTCATGAGTCTCGACACTACCACTGGCCCGTTGGCCCCATGCCAATCAAATTTCAGAAAAATGTTTCAATGATAAGAACGGTCAAGGAAAATGTTGGCTCTTTCATTACAATTTAACGAGAAAATAGCAAAGCAAAGTTATTTTGAGGGTTGCAGGGGTTCACTTGTGCATGTTTCTATGCGATTCTGCATTTTTTATGGGGTTTTATGTTGTTTTTTTAATCTTTTTGTTTGTGTGGAAAAATCGTATTTTAAGTGGTGATATTGATTATCATATTTCACTCTTATTATCGTACTAAATACAATTTAATCGTACTGGTTGGCATCTCTGTATAAGTTACATAACAGATGACACAACTATCAACCAATTTGTTGCTGTTGTTTAATTTATGACTATTTGAATTTCAACAGCAATAAAACAAATGCCTCTACTCATTGAGAAGTGTTTTTTTAATAATAATTTCATTTCATTTCATCAATATATCGGAAATGTTAATTACCTTATACATGTATATATATTATCTCATTGAACTATGCATCATATTTGTACAACTGTATGTCTTATGTTTATATGTTTTTCCCTGCTTTGGCAAATCCATTGTCCTGGGCCATGTTTGCTATATTATGATATATATCTGTCCAATTATGATCTATTTGTAGCACTCTCTTTTTTTATTATGAAATAAATGCTTGTATTTTAACCCTACATGTTGTATTAACAGGACATCTATATATAACCCTAAATGGTTCATTAACCGGATATCATACAAACCGGTATATTAATTACCCTAACCCTAAATTCAAAACAATATACAGTGTGTAACTAATTAAACTAACGACTAATGATTAAACCTATTGTTTCTTGGGAGACCTTTAAGTTTCTCTGCCTGCAAACGTACGTAGAGGGCAGTAATTCTATCGTTCAATCGTTAACCAGACATGAAAAATGTCCTGCAAATGACCATGTCTACATAATGACTCATTTTTCACTACATATGTCTGTCTAATGACACTCACTGTAAGATGTATATATTGATATATTATATTATCTTCTTTTTTGTTGCTGTTGTTGATGTATACTGTACAAACCAGGGGGTGTTTCACAAAGATCCTAAGTTGAACTTATCTCTAAGTTGCACTACTCTCTAAGTTCGACTTAACAATTATGGAAAGCCGTTAGCATCTATGAAAATGTTTTGTAAAAGTTATTTTAAAAGGCATAAGATGTTGATTCAGATCATTCATATTTTCTATTATCAAAGAGATTGTTCTTGATGTGGAATTTATTTTTAAAAAGTCTAGAATAATTGCTTTCTCGCTGTTGAATATACTTTATTTTAAGGTTACATATGGCTCACCATATTTTAAAGTCCAACTTAGAGTTAAGTTCAACTTAGGATCTTTGTGAAACACCCCCCCCCCCCCAGCACTTTATTAAACTTACCTCTCTCTACCCACGGGTATATGAAGCCTGGCCTTGTACAAGATAAGCTCCTCGTGAAGCCGAAGAAAGTGGTTATACCGTCGACGCACCGCCCAGGTGCACGGGCCATGCTCGATCTCTATGTAGTACCTGTGCAATTAGCAATGGTAAGACTTTATATTATAATGATAATAATTATTATAATAATAATAATAATAATAATCTGTTTTTTTATATAGCGCTCAATACAACCGATCCAACGACATGCCTAAGCGCTTTACAGATATTTTATTACCCCGGTCATCGGATTTAAGCTTACCCGCACACAATGTGTGCACATTTTCCACTCCATGGGGAGCATTCCAGCCAGTCGCCATTTTACAAGCGCACACTTGGATCATAATCAAATGATTGGTTGAAAGTTTACACGTGACCAGGCATTTGTTTTACCTAACGCGTAATTTGGATAATGACCGGTCATTAGTAATATCATGTACTGCCCACATGCACGGGCCATGCTCAATCTCTATGTAGTACCTGTGCATACATAGCAATGGTAAGACTTTATCACTGTCTGTTGTGGTGATCTATATAAAGTGGCTCATAATAATCACATTATCACCTTGTTATAGAATTCTCATTTAGGGAGTTCCCCTTCCCTTTCAATTGGAAAAAATCTGTGATTGAAACCGATCCCACTATTATATGATCACATGTACAGTAATAGCAGGAAACTAAGAGACATAATGATTGCTTTCATAATTTGTATTTCCTTGAAAACCACTCCATTACAATTTGAAAAATAAAAACATAAAATCTTTAATATTACAAAATCAATTATTATTTGTTGGTCATTACACCTTTTTTTAAACTTCACCACAGCAGAAAAAAAAACTACTTCTAAAGGCAACTGAGCATTAGGACCTGGATATTTATCAATCAATTTCAAGTTGCAATTGATTTGAATCAATCGTAACTCTTTTAAAAAAGAGAGCCCAGAACTCAACTTTATCTTTAAGCACTATATAAACCCAGAATATCAGTAGTAGCATTTATCATACAATAACTTAATATTACTGAGAATTTTCACTCTTTGCACACTACATTTGGTTAAGTTTGTATTCACAATCAAAGAGAAAATTAGGTCATTCTTGTTGCGTTACAGAATTCTCATTTAGGGAGTTTCCCTTCCTTTCAATTGGAAAGAAACTGTGATTGAAACCGATCCCACTATTATATGGACACATGTACAGTATTAGCCGGAAACTAACAGACATTATGATTACTTTCATGATTTGTATTTCCTTGAAAACCAAACTATTACAATTTGACAGGAAATACCAAGATATTAAATAAAAACATAAAATCATTAATATTACAAAAATTGATTAATACCTGTTGGTCACTACACATTTCTTTTTATGCTTCACCACAGCCGAAAAAAAGGACCTATTCTGAGGTAATTGAGCATTAGGACCTGGATATCTATCGATCAATTTCAAGTTGCAATTGATTTGAATCAATCGCAACTCTTTATAATACAGGCCCAGAACTCAACTTTATCTTTAAGCGCTATATAAAACCAGAATATCAGTAGTAGTATTTATCACACAATAACTTAATATTACTGAGAATTTGCACTCTTTGCACTCTACATTTGGTTAAGATTTTATTCACAATCAAAGAGAAAATAAAAATAAGGATGTTTTTGTTTCATTATTCACAATTCACAATCAGGAAGTTTGCCTTTGTTTCAGTTGAACAGAAACTGTGATTGAAACCAATCCCACTGTAAAATGGACACATACTTGTCCAGTATAATAGGAAGAGTCACAATGGCAGGAAGTCAGTGATATCATGATTGCTTTCCTAACTTGTATTTCCTTGAAGCCTTCTCCATTACAATTTGACAGGAAATACAAGATATTAAATCAACACATCAGATCATTATTATTACAAACTCGATTGTTACGGTTGATCATTACACATTTTTTTTTGCACTTCACCAGAGCAGGAAAAAAAATACTTTGAAGGCCACTGAGGATTGGGACTATATTATCAAGAGAAATTAAAGAAATGTAGTCATCTGATTTTTCAGGGTTTACTAATTAATCATTAAAATTTTAAAAGAGAATCTTCAGCTCTTGTAGTTCATAATATTGAACCAAACTTACACTGAATATTCATAACTAAAATTATGTTAACTGGTTGAGCATGTAATCAGCTGAGCAAAAAATTAGCTAAGAAAAATAAGAGTAGGGGGAAACCCCGGTGTAGTGGTTCACCTGCACACTCTCAATCAGTTATACCAGGAGGAGAGATCCAAGGGTTATAGTGATTCAGTTTGCTTTCCACCTCCTAGGCACAGGTGTCGCTAAATACAAATTAATAATGATTTTTTTAATTTCAAGATACCCCAGACTTAGTATTCACCAAGTTAAGCCAGTATCTCTCGAAACAACTAGCCTTAAAGCCTGTCTGCACTAGCTTGGCCAAGAGGGATTAGATCACCCAGCGTGGTCACTGCACAGGTGGTTATTTCATCAACTCAGCTCTCAATTAACATAAGAAAAAGGGGATCATGGGGGACCAACAGGCACTGATTAGGCATTGTTTCCTACATAGAGGGAGCAAGTAGCAACAAGAAGTGCAGTGGGGCTTTCAAATATTTATGAGACATAGCTCACATACAAGAGAATATAGTAATAACATTTTAAACATTATAGCTAAGATACTTACAGGTTTGGGTTGAGGTGCAGAGTTGAATGCACTCTACCGCAATCGACTATCTTGATATGGATTGGAGTTTTCTCGATAAATATACGCCTGCCCTTGCCTTGGTATGGTACAGGCTTGGCATGTAGCGTCATGTAAGGAACACCTAAAATAGAAGTAATGGGGGAAGTGTTTTCTGTTACTGAAACATTGCAGAAGGTAATAATGATATAACAACAATACCAACTACCTGACTGTTTTCACATTCTCCTCTTCTCCCCATCATCTATCTCTGTAGGCCTATCTTCATCAGCGCGAGTTTGCAAAAAACATGCTATTTTCAGACTCTGGATATTATCTCGAAGCTTGAAATTGCGTCTTCACCAGACCGATACGCTCATCACAAATTAGCAAAGTAGCTTTGGTAACAAGGCCAACATTTCTTGGGATATTTTCTAGACTGAATATCCCGCTAATTGCAACTGCGAGCTGATGAGGATGCAAATTAACTGGTTGATTTGCGATCGGGATAGATAAAATAGTGGGTTATTTGGCAAACTCGAGCTTGTGAGTGTTACTGAAACATTGCAGAAGGTAACAATGAATACCAAAGGCTCCTCATATGAAGCTCATATTTGTCATGGTGAGAAGCTTATGGCGCTTCAACATTAGTTATCCAGTTGCCAAAGTCTTATGGGCTGTCCGTCTTTAGGGCTGTCAGTCTTTTGGGCTTTTGGTCTTATTGGGCTGTCTTTTCCATTGCCTGCTTGTCTCATGAGCTGTGCGTCTTTAGGGCTGTCAGTCTTTTGGGCTTTTGGTCTCATTGGCTTTTGGTCTTATTGGCTGTCTGTCTGAAGGGCTGTCGGTCTCATGGACAGTCGGTCTCATGGACAGTCGGTCTAATGGGCACTACTAATTCAGGGAAAAAAATACATGGGGGCTCGGGGTAAATTTGCCCCCGAAAGTCATAAAAGAGCCCCCCAAAATGTGCATAGAGTTCAATGGAAAACAAGTTATAGTGTTATTTTTATGCAAACAAGCTTGAAAAGTAGCCCCAAAAATTGTTTAAATATTTGTTTTCCCTGTACTCATTCCCCCTCAAACCCAGGTGACAAATCAACATATTCCTCACCTTTACCGCTCCTCACTGGAGAATCGACCTCATCCGTCCATGTTCTCTGCCTGCACGCGACCTCATGTTCGATAGACAGGTCAGAGTTCAGTGAGGTCATACGCAGGAAGGCTTTCCTCCTATCAACAGTCGTCTGAGCTGAATTGTTATTGGAGAAGACGCCGGGCATCGCCGAAATCTCCTGCTGCAGTTCTGCCACCACCACCTCCCGCTCTGCAGCCGAGATCTCTGCATCCTCGCACTGTCCAATGGATATGATATGATATAAAATACAGTCAAACCTGTCTATAGCGACCACGCAAGGGAAACACAAAAAGTGGTCTTTGTAAACAGGTGGTCTTTGTAGACAGGTTTCTTTAGTACATGTTTCAATGACAAACCTCTTTCAAGGGAAACAACAGATGTGGTCTTTATAGACGGGTGGCCTTTGAAGACAGGAGGTCACTTTGGTTTGACTGTAATAAGATTGATTCATCTAACGCAGCTAAGTACATACATACCTGCCAACATTTGAAAATAAGAATTAGGAATTTCTAGCACGGTATGCCTTCGAAAATAAGAAATCTGTACCCTTAACAGGCGTTCGCACATGCAGCGGCAGTGTAACTGGCAATATGTGGTAAATCTGTACAAAAAAGCGAATACAACGTAAGCAATACGAGAACTCTCAGATCGCGGTACATGATAAAACAAGCTTAATTTGGCTTTAGCAACAAAATTATGATTATTTTTTTTTTTTGATTATTTTTTTTTTTATTTTAATAAATAAAAAAAATAAAAAAACTGAAATTTTTAAAAATCAGAATATTCCAAATTTGTAGGTCCTAAAAAATTAAGAAAATCAGAATATTCCGGATTATTCGGAAGGGTTGGCAGGTATGGTACATATATGCTCTACCGCTTTGTGGAATTTTAATTGTGGTGGGAAAAAAAATCCTTATAGTGCTACTGCAGATATGGCAATTACCTAAGGCAGGGGGTTTCTTTAGTAATTTTTCAATGAGAAACAATGTTAGAGGAAAACAGAAACTGTGGTCTTTATAGACAGGTGGTCTTTAAATACAGGTGGTCACTATTAAAAGCAGGTTTCACTGTATGCAACATACCTGTAACCCCAGCATTGACTTGCTAGCCTTGATGAAACTTTCTATACGGGCTTCTGCGCCTTCCTCCTTATTCATTTTAGACGAATCCCAGTCGAACGTCTTGTATGATATTCTACTGCTCCCCGATAATCTAATGAATAAATGGACAAAAGACAAGATATATTGTGTTTCAGTGATAAGGATAATGGTGATTAATAATCCAAGCATGGAAACAGCAGAATATGGAATCTACATCCACAAAGCCCTTAAAGGGATCTGGTAACTTTGTCTCAGATTCTGAAACAAAATCCTGGATTTAGCTCATGCTGCAATGATAATTAAAAAATTTAGGCAGTCAGGAACCCCATGACTTTTACAAGCCGATCGCCTGTCTGATTATCAAGATATTTATGATTGGAAATCGAAACCAAATTTTGTCTAGACCTCTAAGGCTCGATGTGCACAAAGGACCACACAGTACTTCTATTTGACTCTCATAACATTGGACCTTACCTCCTTGCAGTTTCTGACGGTGCCGAGAAGGTGAGTAGGATATTGGGGCTGATGCTGGGAGAGCTGAGAGACCGCCCTCGACCATCTGGAACTTGCAAGGTGTTCTTGGAATCGCCGTCATCGGTGACTGAACGTCTCAAAAGGTTCTGGTTTTCATCAGGACTCTCCTCATCTTCTTCTTCTTCTTCTTCAGAGCTTCTGATGTCTTGCGGATGATGGTCTCGTCCAGACACATCGGCCTCCATCTTGAATTCTGCTCAATATACGACAAAAATATAAACATTTATACAAATTTGAACCAAATCCCTTAATCAAATGTTGGCTTAACTTTAGAATACGCCACCAATTGGGTAATTGAAACCTTTATCTTGTGGTGGGGCATTTTTAAGTTGTTCAAGACAGTTCAAAACAACAGTGCTGTATTGAAACAGCAGGAGTTCGATACATGCATTTATAATTGAGAATGTAGACTATTAATCCATAAGGGTGCATGTATGGCCGATATGGGTGGTCGTGCTCAAGTAGCGCATGCAGCTAACTGCTAAGCAACACGAGTACGCTTGCATATTGCGCAATGCGGTTGTTTTGCTTAATTTAGCAAAACAAAATAACTCTGCGTGTACATATTTTTCGACGATTCTGACAAAAATTCTACCCAAATCAGAGGCTAACGAACGAAAGAGACAGAAAATTTGGTCTAGAGTCTAGTGATGGCGCTGCCCATCGACTAAAGTAAATGACAGAGATATGACGGTGTTGAAGGCGTCATAAGCTTAAGTTTAGTCAGGAAGTTGTCCTTGATGTTAGCAAAGAGGGCTTCGTGAAACCGTAGCGGACAAGTTGCTCACTAGACCTACTTGACTTCTTCTAGAGTCTAGACCTCTAGATCTACTTCAACTTAAGTTCTACGACGATACTCAGCAGGATCCATAAGTCAGGATGTAGTGCTGAGGAATAAGCTATCTAGTTAGTTCACTAACGCTGATTTAGTCAAGAAGTTAGACTTATGACGGTTTCTAGGAACGCGGGCCCCTGACGGTCTGCTGAGCTGACGCCCGGCTGCAGGCTCGGGTCTGAATGCGGCAGGGCCTGGCTTAGCGTCAGACAGGGCGCCTGAGCTGAGCCTGTGCTGTTGCCTGAGTGCCTTCCCTTGGCCGAGCGAGATCGAGCCGAGACAAGAAGATCGTCATTTGATAAAAGTCATAAACCTTGCGAAATACCATCTACACACATTGAAGCCGGATCAATCCTGTACATTTCATTATATTCTCAAATAAATCTTTGCAAATAGCTAAAAAAATATATCCATTTTAACTGGACCTACCTAAAATCACAGATAAGCAGAACACGGAAGTTGTTATGGAGTATGACAAGGTAATCCATGAAATAACTATTTTGATTGGTCATTTATGATATTCTCGACTCTCAAGAACGAATTACATTCGTCATCTCGATTTGAAGGGCGGAGCTCTGTTCTCGTTATTCGACCAATCAGAGTTCCAGAAATTAAGTCTTGTCTGAGCGCCCGACTTGAAAAAAAATTGACATCGGCGTTTCGTAAGTAAAAATTTTTGTTATCTTGAATTTTGTTTTGTTCGGACGTATATAAATATAGACCTACTTAGAGTCTATATCATGTAGTCATTCATGTTAACTGGCTGATGTGAGGTAGAAGATAAACTTCCTTTTAGGAAGGAAATGTAATCGTATGCTAGGCAAAAATGTTACATTATAGTCCCACCTGTTCACTTTCGTGTTTGAGAATCTTGACTTTAGCTGAGGAAGTGAAATGATTTGTAGTGAAGCTGTGTCACTTTTTTAGTCTATATCTAGAGCAGGGGTTCTCAAACTTTTTCCTTGACGTTCCAGCTGTGATTTCCATGAAAAGGTCCAAAACAATCATACAATGGGCAAATTTAGTTTACTTACAGGGTCAGTACAAAAGACAGTCAGTAGATTCTAGGGTGTCTGGACGATTTTTCAACAGGTTCAATCAATGTTCTCTGTTTTGCCTTTTGGAGTTTTGGCTTTTGGATCGCTTGTCACCATAATGGTTGGTTAGATCTAGAAAAGTCTAGTCTCTTAGGAAAAATCATTTTTACTCACTGATGTTTCTATAAAAAGATACAGCCCCCCCCCCCCCCCCCCCCCCCCCCGAAAAAGTGGTACACGCCGAGTTATAATTTTTTGCTCAAAAGCTGCACAGCACGATATGCAAAGTGTGCAGAGAAGCCAAGTTCAAAGATCAGCAATGCGTGACATTTGCATGATTCGGCGCGTGAGCGCGTGGGCGATGGTATAACACACGTATAAGGTATAGCGTTTTTTCGAAATCTAGCCCGTGATATCACCAAGCCTTAAAGGGATCGTGTAACAATGTTAAATCTGAGATACACGGTCCTACGTGTTATCAGTGTCTGTGATATGGTGTAATATTGAAGCCCTAAAAAAATCCCGCTTCAAAACGATCAAGAAGTGCCTCAAAAAAGTAAAAATCTTTGAGTGACCGGTTTTACCATACTCGTTTTCCCCAATAGACTGTAGTGTTATGAAAACCGTCAGGCGAACGGTTTTCAAAATTTGTAATTCCAATCATAAATATCTTGATAATCAGACAGGCGACCGGCTTGTAAAAGTCATGGGGTTCCTGACTGACCTAAAGGTGTATAATTATCATTGTATCATGAGCTAAATCCAGAATTTTGTTTCAGAATCTGAGACAAAGTTACCGGATCCCTTTAAACGGCTCCCATACAACCCTACGGAGAGGCATGTTAAAAACCCCTAAAATGTGTCCGAAATCACCCCTTCCCGAATATTGGACAGTGGCTTTAATGAAGTTTATGCCACTTCTACTCCTAATTACCTACGAAAATTAAAAATTGAAATTAAAAATATTGACAAACGTCTTACCAGAGCGATACAGCTTAGCTCCCTTTTCACGTGTAGCCTGTGACTTTAAGATCTCGATACAATGGTGTTGACCTCTGACTGGCACTTCCGTGAATTTGCTGCTACCGTATAATGCACTGTATAACACACATACAGCGCATTATAAGGTAGCAGCCATTTAAAAAAATATGATTGGAAAGGAGATAGATCTACTTTTCAAATAATTTCAAAATAAAATCGAAAATCATTGTAAAACATCAAAATACAGAGACTTACTTTCAGCTACTTGCAATCTGCCCCTTTCTTGAAAAAGCCGTGCACGATGAGATCGGTAATCACACACAAATTGTTTTGCAAAACCTCCTGTCACTAACTGTTAGTGTTACTAGTCGAGTAGCGATTCTGGGCCACAATAATAGCTTCCCTTTTAATTTGGTTCCTTTGCAAAACCTCCCCTCACTAACTGTTACTAGTCGAGTAGCGATTCTTGGCCACAATAATAGCTTCCCTTTTAATTTGGTTCCTCTGCATAGATCTACTTTTGAAATGGTGAACATGGCGTCAGTTGAGGGTATAGTGGATTGCCTCCTCCAGGGTCAGCTTGAGACGGCCATGGACAACATCCATGACATTCTGACCCAGCCAGAAGAGGTCAACGGAATCAAGGAGTTCAGTATTCTGATCCAAGAAGCTGCCAGGCAGGAGGAGATCCATCGGTCTCATATCAAGGATGTACTCAAAGGTAGGAAGAGGAAGATTTATACTATTATGATAAGACCTACAAAAAAAAAGATGTTGTAGTACCCTGTAGGTGCCAAAACATGGGTCGGTCAGTCAGAAATCTTTTCTTCTTCTTTTTTTTTTCTTTTCTTTTTTTTTTTAAACTCCCTCTTTGGGCTGACATTTTTCAGTTTTGAATGCTTTAATAAATTTTTTGGGGTGAAAAACGGTTTTAATTTTTTTTTTTTTTTTTTTTAAGCCGCCCGTCTATTTCAAAATGTTTGGGTCGGTCCCAAAGGGCAATACAACATCTTTCTTTGTTTGGGCCTAATGATGATATTGGTGATGGTGATGATGATTATGGTAGCAATGGTGATGGTTATGCGGAGGAAAAACAATTATAGGTATCCTGATCCAAGAGGCTGCAAGGCAGGGGGAGATCCACAGGCCACATATCACGGATGTACTCAAAGGTAGTAGAAGAAGAGGAGGATGGTGATAAATTATGATGATGATGATGACAAAGGCAAGACAACGTTGACGAGAATGGTGAGGAACCGATGATGGTGGTGAGAATGATGAAGAGAGTACATGTAGTGATGATGATGATGCTAATGATGGTGGTGGTGGTGGCGAGGAGGAAGATATGTCAGCAATGATGGTGATGATTTTAAAGGGATCCGGTAACTTTGTCTCAGATTCTGAAACAAAATCCTGGATTAGTACATGCTGCAATGATCAAAATTTTAGGTCAGTCAGGAACCCCTTGACTTTTACAAGCCGATCGCCTGTCTGATTGTGAACATATATTATTTATGATTGGAAATCGAAACAAAATATTGCGTTTGCCAAAAGGTTTTCATAAAACTACAGTCTATTGGGGAAAACGAGTATGGTAAAACCGGTCACTCAAAGATTTTACTTTTTTGAGGTATTTTGAAGTGCGATTTGTTTAGGGCTTCAATATTATACCATATTACAGACACTGTTAACATGTAGGGCCGTGCATCTCAGATTTAACATTGTTAAATGATGCCTTTAATGGATATATAGACCATCAGGGGCAGGGGGAGCTCTACATATCAAGGAAGTACTCAAAGGTATGTAGGAGGAGGAGGAATACACTATGAAATGACGGACAAAGAAAGCGGACAAAATATACAGTTCCTCAGGTAGACAAAGGAACATCCCTTCACTGCTATTATGTAAAATGTGTATAGAACAGGTGTCACATGCATATTCACCTGTTCTACACATTTTTACATAATAGCAGTGAAGGGATGTTCCTTTGTCTACCTGAGGAACCGTATGTTTTGTCCGCTTTCTTTGTCTGTCATATTCATAGTGATAGGATGGTGATTATAGGAAGAAGAATATTCGTGGTGGTGGTTATTTTACCTGACTGCTGAGAAAGCATAAAAGCTTGTTAGTAAGCAACCAGATGGCCGACGGCATTAAGTCCTCTCCGAGGGACCTGTTAATGAGGATTAATGCCTTACCAAAGGGCAATAGCGCATTGACTTGGTTTATAACCCGGGTCATCGGAATACGAGACCACTGCTCTACCGACTGAGCTATCGCGCCTTCTTATGATAATGATGATGGTGATGGCAGTGATGACAATGATGATTATGGTTGCTATGGTGATGGTAATGATGATAGAGGTGGTGTTATGGATTTTGACGATGATGATGAGGATGATGGAGATCAAAGATGTTGGTGATGTTTGTTATTATGAACAGTGAGGTTCTTGACGATTTTTAAGGATGATGATGTTGATGTTTGTTAGCATTATCTATGTCAACATCCACCACTTGTACACAACCCGCAAAAGATTAGGTAAAATTATGAACCGTATTTCTTTGGTGTGGACCCAGTGAGTTTGTCAGTTGTATGAATTAGTAATCAGACAATGACACAATGTTTTCAAGGTTATTTTGAACTGCAAAGAAGCTGTCTCAATTTACCGGTAGATTGTTGTCCTTAAAGATAAACTTGAGTTCTGGTAAAAAAAAGAAAATGATTTCTCACAGAATCAAATGAAACTTACACTGAATGTTCAAGATTACAAATAAATGTTATTTGCCAAACAATTGTGGTAGAAAATGTAAACTGGCTGAATAATGAGCATAGAAAAATAAGGAAATCAAGGTAGGTAACCCCGACACCATTTGTGTACATGTAGTCCCATATACATCTTTCTGTGTACAGTGCTTGTTACTTTACCAAGACTGGGCCAAATTTATTATGATTTTGATGAATCCAGAACCTTGCAGTACACATCAATACTTACATGCTACATGCTCAACTTTTTCTGATCCATTCCACACCGTTTCTTTCACAATGCAATCGCATGACCAGAACTCAACTTCATCTTTAATTCACGATATATTTCTAAAAATGTTTCCTATACTTTCCCTTCCATTCAGCTTACATATCGATGAAAAACAACATGGAGTCGGTGATAGCTGAAGATAAGTCCGCTGATGCGATAGGTGAAGAGATCAACCTACTACAGACACAGCATCAGAAAGCATTGCAGACATCTGAGGCAGCCAAGGAACAATGTCAATATCCTTTTCTGCACAAGGAATACTATTATTACACTTTTTACACGTACAGTACGGTAATAACAATTATAAGATGATGACGTGGATCCTAATCAAATGATTGGTTGAAAGCATACACGTGACCAGGCATCTATTTTGCCTAACATGTAATTTGGATAAAGACCGGTCATTATCCAATTCTAATGACCGGTCATTAGTTAAATGATGTTATAACACATCATTTTATAAAACAAATAGAACATAATCTTATAAAACAAATAATATACATCATTTTGTTCCGGGCATTAGTAAAATTACCCTCACTCGGTACCTTCAAAATAGTTAGACTGTTCCAAAGGTGCCTTGTGTGAGTAATGCCCTCACTGCTGTGTATTATTTGTATACTAAACTATATTCATGCCCCTTGTAAATTTGATGTTTTTTGGTGTTTTTCGTAATTCAGGAATGAAAGGCGAACGGGTGAATTAGGGCCTTTCTTATCATTATCATAGCATTCCTATTTTGGAGGAATGGTTCCTATTTTGCTGCCTTTAAACTATATAGGGCCTTTAAAAAAAAAATATTGTATTGCCCTTTAGATGCCAAAACTTTTTTCTTTTCTTTTTTTTTATTAGTCCCTCTATGTGGTGATATTTCTCTGTTTTGAATGCTTTACCGTAATGCTTTTTTTTATGCCTCCGTTACGAAGTAGCCGGAGGCATTATGTTTTCGGGTTGTCCGTACGTACATGTACGTCTGTACGTACGTACGTCCCGTTCTTGTGATCGCGTTATCTAAAGAACCGATTGATGGATTCCTGCCAAACTTTGGTCATGTATGTATCTTGCAGAGCCGATGAACTGATTAGATTTTGGGGTCACGAGGTCAAAGGTCAAAGGTCACAGGGCTCATTAGGTATGCAAAAACAGCTCGTGATCGCGTTATCTGAAGAATCGATTGATGGATTCCTGCCAAACTTTGGTCATGTATGTATCTTGCAGAGCCAATGAACTGATTAGATTTTAGGGTCATGAGGTTAAAGGTCAAAGGTCACAGGGCTCATTATGTATGCATAAACAGCTTGTGATCGCGTTATCTCAAGAACCGATTGATGGATTGCTGCCAAACTTTGGTCATGTATGTATCTTGCAGAGCCAATGAACTGATTAGATTTTGGGGTCATGAGGTTAAAGGTCAAAGGTCACAGGGCTCATTATGTATGCAAAAATAGCTTGTGAACGCATTCTCATTAGAACTGACAGATGGATTACTATTTAACTCAGGACATCTTGCAGAGCCAATGAACTGAGTAGATTTTAGGGTCATGAGGTCAAAGATCAAAGGGTCATATATATGTATATGAGAAATTGCTTGTAATCACGATATTCTGAGAACCTGTCAATGGATTACAATTGAACTTGAATCCGAAAAATTTCTTCTGTTTTGGTTTGTAAAATTGCTCTATGACAGAGGCATCATTTTCGACTGCGCGCAGTCGAATTCCATCTAGTTTTCTTAAAGAACGGTTTAAAAAAAAAAAAAATTAAAAGCTGACCGTAGATTTCAGGATTTTGGGGTTGGTCGTAAAGGGCATTACAACATCTTTTTTTTAGGCCTAGTTACGAAACATAGATTCCTCTCTTCTCCTGAAAAGGTATACACAATAGACTGTATTCCTGATGCACCTGTATTGCCTTGAGAGATTCCTATTATCGTGTTTGCTGTGGCATTTGTCCTATCATCATCATCTCTTATAAAATAGTATTATTTTGTAAATAGTATTAGGGAGTAGTAGTACTATATTTATTATTATTGTTATTGTTTTTGTTATTATTATTACTAATATCATTTGTTATTATTATCATTATTATCACAAATACATGTATTATCATTACATGTATGTTCATTATTCATCATCATCAAAGTATTTTTTTGTTTTGTTATTATTACTAATATCATTTGTTATTATTATCAATTATCATTATTATCACAAATATTATTAATGTTATTATCACAATTATTATTATTATTATCATTATTTATTATTATTATGTTCATCATCATTCATCATCATCAAAGTATTTTTGTTTTGTTATTAATATCATTATTATCACAAATATTATTATTGTTATTATTATGATTGATGTTATTATCACAATTATTAGTATTATGTTCATCATCATCATCATCATCATCATCATCAAAGTATTTAATGAAAGCACTCTGTTCTGATCCTTAACGAGCCATTTCATCACAGCATTGAACGAAGAACGAGAAAAGATGCATGCCGAACAGGAGGCGCTGAGTCAGAAGAGAGAGACGGTGAAAGAAGATACGACACAAGTTCTCCCCAAAACGAGGTTAGTCTGCGCTGGTTTTTATCTCTGTCTGTGTGTATTTGTTCTCTTTTCTTTTGGATTGAAATTTTTATTTTTAATTCACTGCACTGTTTACATGTATGTACACCTTGAAAAACCTCAAGGATAATTGTCACATTATGTTCTTTCTTTTTTCCTTTTCACTCTCTTTCTCTCCTTCTCCCTCTCTCTCTCTCTCTCTTCATTTTACTCTCTTTCTCTCCTTCTCTCTCTCTCTCTCTTTATTTATTTTACTCTCTTTCTCTCCTTCTCTCTCTCTCTCTCTCTCTTTATTTTACTCTCTTTCTCTCCTCTCTCTCTCTCTCTTTATTTTACTCTCTTTCTCTCCTCTCTCTCTCTCTCTCTCTTTATTTTACTCTCTTTCTCTCCCCTCTCTCTCTCTCTCTCTCTCTCTCTTTCTTTATTTTACTCTCTTTCTCTCCTTCTCTCTCTCTCTCTTTATTTTACTCTCTTTCTCTCTCTTACTCTCCCTCACTTTCTCTCTCTTTGTAAAGAAGGTTACATGTATGCTGTTATTCCCAAGGATAACACTTTTGAAATTATTTGTTTTTAGTTCCTTCTTTGACAATGTGTAGAATTGTCATCAATTTACAGTTATCAATTTGTCTAATTACCTTTAAGTGATCAAGTTTACTATGCTTCTCAAAAAAAGTCCTCTATATGCATGCAATGATTTTTATTTTTCTGAATCACGAGGCTAAATTGTGTATAAAGAAAGTGACCAATCTCACATTTCCCTTTATTTGTTATGATACCAGTAGGTATTCATGCATCTTATTCATGCATGCATGGGTTTCTAGTTTTAATCTATAAGGGAGTTTACAGATAGCACATGGTACAAATGACCCCAAATATCCACAGATCTTTTAAACATGGAGAAGTTCCACTTTGAGCATCTTAGAATAATAACTGCCAAAGTCCACTTCCACCTGCGTATCATAGAATGTACCGTTGGTGCATAAATGAATGATGTTACATAACTTTCATGAGCGCATTATCCAGTATTCATCTCTGTGGGTTTTACCTTTTTGGTACAAATGACCTTTATCTGCCCATGCGCAGATTGTATCTATGAACTGGCTTATTGGGTTGTACAATTCATTTTTTGCTGGAAAGAATCCACATGTAAGATTGTCTACAGTTCAGGGAAAAAAATACTTTAACAATTTTGGGGGCTACTTTTCAAGCTTGCTTGCATGAAAATAACACTCTTTAATTTGTTTTGCATTGAACTCTATGCAAATTTTTTGGGGCTCTTTTATGACTTTCAGGGGCTTTTTTTAGCATATTAGGGGCTAATTTGCCCCGAGTCCCCATGTATTTTTTCACTGGTACAGTTATTTGCTTTTCCAGGCTATGTGAAGATTAATGCTCTTATCACATTGAATTTATTTGATATTTTCCTTCAGCGAAACCTTGTTTTTTATGATGAAACCTTACATAGCAAATATTTATATTATTGGTTCCACACTATTGGGTTTTTCACATTCATTTGCCCCTCCCCCCTCCCCCCTCCCCTATTATATTAAAAAAACCTTTGTTTAAGAAAATTTATAACTACATGTAGTCAGTTCTTACATGCGATTTTAACTTGCTTTTGATAGTGACTTGCAGTGGAGAAGACCGCATGACTGTAAAGACCATATTTTTTGTTTCCATGGAACATTCTACCCCCATCATATGAAAGGAACCTGTACATATAGATCACTTTACTATAACTATATATATATATAAAGACCATGGCCCCATTGCACAAAACTTCAAAACCATTGATGGTTACTTTGCCATCAATGGTATCTACCATGGAAACCTTGATTTTGATTGGCTGTTGAGCCCTGTTGCCATGGTAGTTACCATTGATGGCCAAAGTTACCATCAATCGTAAGTGTTACGCAACAGGCCCATATTTTTTGTTTCACATAAGGGTTTACTACATATTACAAAAATAATAATCTGTTGTTGTTGCTGCTGCTGTTCTTGTTTGTTTGGGGTTATTTAGTTTCTTTGTTTGTTTTTATTTGTTTTCCTTTGTTTTTTTTTAATTGTTTTCCTTTTGTTTTTATGAAAAGATTAACATTGTGTTCTGCCAGGGGAAAAATTAACATTTATTTGTCGGGGGGCTACTTTTCAAACTTGCCTGCATGAAATTAAAACTCTAAAATTTGTTTTGCATTGAACTCTATGTAAATTTACAGGGGCTCTTTTGGGCATTTTGGGGGCTATTTTTTTCACTGTGTTCTGCCATCCTTTTATATGTGTTTCACTTTTCATTTTCTCCTCTCTTTTTTTTAAAATCAGATATAATGTCAGTCTCTATAGCTGCATCACAGGCATCAAGTGGGACTACGATTGTAAACCAGACGAAATCAAAGGATGTATCCTTGAAATTTGCAAATGTTTGAATGGATTAGTATACAAATAATACACAGCAGTGAGGGCATTAGTAAGAATTACCCGCACGAGGTACCTTTGGAACAGTCTGGACTGTTTTGAAGACACCAAGTGTGGGCCCAAATAAGGGCCCCATGATGTTTTATAACATGATTTTGATAATGACCGGTCATTATCCAAATTACGGGTTAGACAAAATAAATGCCTGGTCACGTGTATGCTTTCAACCAATCATTTGATTAGGATTCACGTCATCATCTTATAATAGATACTAGATGGTTAGAAAGGGATGTAAATAGGTTTATAGATAGATACATACATGTAGATAGATAGATAGATATTTACTATTACATAGATGGATAGATAGATTGGTAATATTGGATAGATGGATATATATATATATATATATATATATATATATATATACTATTAGATAGATAGATATATACTATTGGATAGATAGATAGATAAAATAGATAGAAAGATAATATCAGATAGATATATACTATTGGATAGAAAGATCGATAAAATAAATAGCTAGATAATATTAGATATATAGATAGATACTATTAGATGAAAGATAGATAGATAGATAAAATAGGTAGATACTGTCAAATAGATAAATAAGTATATACTATTGTATAGATAGATAGATACTGCTAGATGGGTAGATAATTATATAGATTGAATAATAGATTCATATGTAAATTTACAAAGGAGCTCAGGAAACTTTATCATTCTTTTGAGTTACTACTCTGTAATCCTTTACCTGTATTTCTCTTTGCAATGATGTCCTATTCATTATGATTACCGTAATTAATGTTGTATTAATCACACTTTTTTGCCGCCGAAAAAATTCAAAGTCGGGGGTGCGTCTTATTTTTTATTTTTTTTAAGTTTCGATTTGTGCCCCTCCACCTGGCGCTATGCCTGGCAATGTCTCCCAGCTCAGTAATCGGTGTGTTAACTCACCACTCGGAAACTAGAACAACACTCAAATTTGTCTGTCATCTTTGTTTGAAAGTAATCTTCCTGATAGATCTCAATATGTAGTTTATAATAATAATTCCTCCAATTTTTCTTCTATTACATGACGTACCACAAGGTTCTATCCTAGGTCCTCTACTGTTTTTTAATTTACATTAATGATCTTACACATTCAGCTGCACCTCGCAGTTAAATGAAAGGCCTTCCCGTGTGGGTTTTTTTCTTTTTCCTTTTTTTAGGGCGAAAAAGAGGGGTGCGGTTAATACACGAGGGCGGTTTAAACACCGTTAATTAGGGTATGTGATTTGGGGGTGCACTAAATAAAATAAACAGGTTTACAAATGATACATATATATTAGGATTATGTAATTACATGGTAGATATCATTCATCAATCTTTAGTTTCACTAGTGTCTGCCAAGGCAATATAAAGAAATACAATGAATATTTGATGTAGGTAAACATTGGATTTAGAATTTTTCCTGGAATTTAATGATCATGTTATTTAGGTGTGCACAAAAGGAATTAAAGAGGCTTACAAATGATATCAAATAAAAGTATAATAATGCAAATGTCAACCTTTTTGTTACTAATGTTGGTTTGGTTTTGTTTTCTCTTCTTTTTATTTTTTTTTCCCTTTTGCCAAGTTTTGATAAAAATATGTATCATAATAATAATAATAATAATACATTTATAGAGCGCAGAAACTATCCAACATTAAGTATATGGCTACTGCGCTACAAGAGCTCCTGATATGCTTAGATTTACAGTTAATTAAAAAAAGATGTGTTTTCATATGTAAATTAGCATTCGATTTAGGATGCTTGAATGGAAAAATTCCTTGACTCTTTTTTTTTTTTTTTCTCCTGAAATCAGATGTGAGCACCTCAAAGGACGTCAGGCCCTTCTCGCTAGATTGCAAACAGCATTCCAAGTTCTTTACCACAAACTATCTGTGGGACTTGGTTGAAGCAGCCGTTGAGGCCAAATGATTTTTTTTTAAAGTTTAAAGTTTATTTATTCCACATTTTGCATTAAAAAAACAGTTTATATTCTTCTTTTTTTTTTTTATACAAGAGTATATTATATAAGAGTAGATTTCACACAAGAAAAAAAAGAAAAAAATTACAGATATCAAATCGAGTATAATGTACGCAAAATAAGTACGAAAATTTCGAAATATGTAGATGTAACAGGCAAGGTAAAACAATGTAAAATGTGGGGAGCCTATTAAATAAAAAGCATAGCTTGTATGTGAATAGGCTCCCGTACTGAGTAACAAAGTATAGTAGATCTGAATTTAAAAGGTATTTTAAGAGGCGAAAAACGGAGTAGTATAGTATGAGATTCTAGAGAAAAGCGTGGTTGTACTAAAAATGTTCAGTTTATACTTGCTCCATGAACAATTTCTGTTTACACCAATGAGCTTGGAATCCTAGGAAAGGGGGGGGGAGTCAGAATATATTGTGTACACAAGCCAGGCCACAGGTTTTCCAAAACCTACTAAACAACTTTTTTTCCATTGGTCGAAGTCACACCCTTTTCCAGATTTTTCAAGCTTTTTCCTGGAAAAATTTACCCTCTAAACAAGTTTAACCCCCTCCTAAAGAACATATCTCCTAAAGATGGTCTAAAAGTAATAACCCCTATTGAAATTACTTGCTTAAAAAATGGCTATTATTGATATCAACCTTTGCAAATTATAGAGTGAATGAAAACATAAGTCCAGGCAAGGGATACCCTAAATGCATTAAGCAAGCTCAACAAACGTAAGCTTTTTCCTTATTTTTTTGCCATAAATGTGTCACTTGAATCAACCAGCAGCAATTACCCTTTTCACATTTTTTTTTTTGCGCATATGCACAGCAATATATTTAATATTTCTGATAACAGACTCATTTCATTTGCATTCAAAGAGTAATTTAAGCAATATGGACAGAAAATATATGCTTGATGGTACGTACCATCTGGTAAAAAATCATGAATCGCATGACCGTTGATCTCCCATATGCTCCTGTGACAATTCTCTCCAGGCTTTATTTTGTCAAAGGAATAGGGTTAGGGTAGCAGTTGTAATTGAAGGGATTTTGTAGCGTTGCAAAATTTTAGAAAATAATTTCAAAGTGGACTAAATGGTATAAAATCCTATCGCTATGAGTATAATTAATCACATCTGAAAGTGTCAGAGAAAGTGGAACTCATTTACTATCTTAAAGATAAAGACCAGTTATGGTCATGCGATTGTATTGTAAAAGAAACGTTGTGGAATCGATCAGAAAAGGTTGATCATCTAGCATATAAGCATTGGTGTGTACTGCAACGTTCTGGAATCATCAAAATCATAAGAAATTTGGCCCAGTCTTGGTAAAGTTACAAGCACTGTACACAGAAAGATGTATATGGGACTACGCGACACGTGCGTTATATCTATCAGGTCCAAATAGATATAATATTTTACCAAATATATCAATTAGTAGGCGGTTTCTCGGTAAAATTTATATCATTACGTATTAGTCAAAACATATTCTTTCACATGATTGGTAATAAAAGATTCCATTTCATTTTTTGAGAGGGGGGCGTTTCCAAAACTGGTCTTTACCTTTAAAAAAGAGAAATTAAATGAGGTTTTGAAAGCAAAGTTTAGACTTAAGTTACAGCAGATTGACAAATTTAATATTGAGCGTCCTCATATGTTTGTCATGAGACATTGCTAATATGTGTCTGTGTTTCATCAATGAATATCTGTGGCGTATTTCTAGCTCATTTCCCGCTTGCTTTAAAGCCCGTCTACACTAGTTTGGCCAGGAGGGATTAGACCTCCCTGCAAGGTCACCGACAGGTGTTTATCAAATCAGCTCTCAATTAACATATAAGAA